GCTTTATGTATGGAGCTCGGATGTCATAATTCATATCGAATCTGTTTCAGCGGGCATAATCGTATATCATCTAGGTTTGAGTGAACCGCGCGTTGGCCCTATTCACTCAAACTGTTCTCTCAACCTATAAGACATATGATTACACCTCACATATCCACCTTTAGCTGTAAAGAGGAAGAGCACCAGCCGTTCTCAGATTTCTCAAAGGAAATGGTTTAAATTACATTTTCTTTTACACCATCAAACCTCCATTTTGTCTTCTAACTAGTGAACCAGCAATCTGAAGGTGTTATTTGGAAGAAGGTTCGCTTCGGGACCCACCCTCGGTTTCCCGCTATTTGCACATTTTTGAATTGGCGTTGTGATTCTTTATATATTAGATTAGATTCGTGCACTGATTTTGAGAGATCTCGGGAAGAGCATCGAAGTAGGGTTTTAGATAGGAAAAGCTCAGAGGAAGCAGGACAGCGAAAAAGCAAAGAAAGAAGGGTGGCTAATTCAAGGACCACGCCGTATTGCGCGGCATGGTCCTTGCACGCTGCAGCCGACGGTAGCGCTCGCGCACAGGTGTGTAACTGCACTACGCGGCGCTGGATCCGTCAAACGCATTGTATACATTGTAATCCTGCGCCTCATCGCTCTGCGGCTAACAAAGCCGCGTTCGCGCCCAAAGTTATTGCGCCTTCGTCATGCAGCAGCCTATAAGTACAGTGCTGGCCAAAACTATAGATCCACTATAAAAAACTGCCGTAGTTCATCTGCTTCTCAACGAAATGATCTGAGATTTGGTACAGCTGTGTGTTCAACAGGCTTCCATCAGTGACCGGAGCGGATCCCGCTTTCGTTCAATTATTCAGGAAAAAAATCAAAAATTTCGAAAAAAGCAGGCTTGAAAGTTGGCCGAAACTATAGATCCACCTGAAATTCTGTCTGCTAAAGTAAATCTTGGCTTCCAAAATTTTTTGTGCATACACATAGTCGAAAGTCAAAGCAGTTACTTGAGTTCAGCGTGTCATGCCTTTATAAGAAACGCTTATCTGCTTTTTTTCACTTAAAAAATACTTTTATGCGTATTTTGTTCCCGAGTATGTGTTATTGTGGAGGATTCCGCACTTTTTTGACTGGTTTAAAAATGATAGGGCTCCATTTATCTTATAGATGCTTAGCAGTGTGAGCAGTAGAAAAAAAAATTAGAGTTTTTGTATCCAAAGCGCACGCGACATAGACCTAACCGCAGGCCTGCATTCAAATTTATGCCTTCAAACTTTTGCTGCAATGTTCTCATGAGAGTGAAATGAAGTAATGACATTGTGAGTATGTATGAGAGTCCGTATGCAGTAGTTGCGGATTTCTGCAGATCCTAGTCTACAGGTTAATTGAGGACTTCAACCTGCAAAAAGTGATTTGCAGGTTGAAGTCCTCAACCTGCAAATCACTTTGCAAACAAGCCTTGAAGTTATTTCTGGTTCTGACCATAATGCTTATGTGAGTCACGAGGCAGTATACTATGCAGGGTGTATTCACTAGTTAGCAGCTAAATGGTGGCAAAATTCAAGGAAGGTACCACGTGGTAAGTACTTTGAGATTGCCGAACACACCGCAAGACTTATGCTTTAAAAAGAATTAAAATGCGACTTCGCAAACAATCGTGACTATAGTTTACAAACTTCTTTTTATGTGAATAATGCTAAATAATGCTTCTAAATTATTTTGAGCTTACAAAAATAGCGTACACCAATTTTTAAGGCAAAAGTTCCAGCGCAGGCCTGCGGTTAGGTCTATGTCAAGTGCGCTTTAGATATAAAAACTCTAATTTTTTCTACTGCTCACACTGCTAAGCATCTATAAGATAGATGGAACCCTATCATTTTTAAACCATTCAAAAAAGTGCGGAATCCTCTATAAAAGCACATTTTCGGGAACAAAATACGCATAAAAGTATTTTTTAAGTGAAAAAAGCAGATAAGCGTTTCTTATCATAACTCATAATAACGGGCTAAGGATGTTTACGTTTTTTTTGTGTGTGTGTGTGTCTGTCCGTTACGAAATTCGTAGAGCGTGTTCCAGCCAACGTCCTAAGTCCAAATTTTCATAGCGCACGCTACCTGCATGAAAGCCCACCATGCAAAAGTTTGAGCGGATCCGTTGAGTGGACCCGTTGAAAATTGTGCGTCAAACGGATCCACTTGGCTTCTGACCGGCAAAATTGGGCCAGTACCAACACTTTTTGGGAAGTCATGGATATGTTCGACAAGCTAATGTGCAAGCCATGGACATTGACCCAAACAATTGAACTAAACTTGATTAGTTTACGAAAACGGCGCCAAAAAGGATAAGTTGCATAAACGCTCAATTTGCGAAGATTTTACCTGATCGTTTGAGAAGATTTTTGCACAGGGATGTAGCTCACGGTAATTATGATCGTTATGGTGACTATTAGACCATAAAAAGTTTGAAGACCGATCCAAATTCGCATTAATTCTTCTCGGAAAAGTTTCATCCACGCGAAAATACCGACCTCACACAAAAAAGCTCTAGGAATGAGTAGTTGTATACAAATCATTCGTGATAGCCTGCATGGGTGAGTTTCAATGTCATATTTTGCGAGAATGAGTTAGGCATAGGAAAGTAGGGCCAGTGCGAGCCTCTGCGAAGCAGAGGTGACGCACTGGTAAAGGTATGACACAGCTGAACTAAAGTAACTGCTTTGATTTTCGACTATGTATATGCACAAAAAACTTTGGAAGCCAAGATTTACTTTAGCAGACAGAATTTCAGGTGGTAGTTTCGGCCAACCTTCGAGTCTGCTTTTTTCGAAATTTTTGATTTTTTTCCTGAATAATTTAACGAAAGCGGGATCCGCTCCGGTCACTGATGGAAGCCTGTCGAACACACAGCTGTACCAAATGTCAGATCAATTCGTTGAGAAGCAGATGAACTACGGTAGTTTTTTTATAGTGGATCCATAGTTTTGGCCAGCACTGTATGTTCTGCGCGCTCACAAACACATTCATTTTACTGCATGCTTGTGGAAGAAGCGCGCATTTTCAGTGAGAAAATAATAAATCCATAGGAGGACATTCTTTCGGGATTCTCAGGACCCGCTCTGCTGTGCCATAGCAACTAATCTTCGCCTCCAACATGACCAGATGCAAATCAAGTAAAGCCATGCAACCAACATTCGTTAGTTGCCCATAACCAAACATATCACGATAGTTCGCCATGAGAAACGAATGCTGCTTTGTCCTGATAATTCAGATATGTGAATTGCCTTGTAATTTTGTTAAGCTGAATACAAAAGCCAAATAGTGACCTCTCTTAAAAACACCTGAATAGCCTACCTGCATTCGGTTTCCACGAGCATAGTTCACACGTAATTTTTCCGGGGCTCAGCCCCGAACCCGCAAAAACAATATCCCTTTGCTTTCAACCCCAAAAACGAAGTCCAGTTTGACCCCAAACCAGCTGTGCCGGGCCCTGGCGTCCACCCAAAATTTCGCCCCCTCCCCCATGTTTTTGTCATTCTGGGGCCTTTCCGTGGCCGTGATTACAGTTATGAAGTTCAAACTTCCAAACCCCTCAAAAACCCGATTCCTGGGGACCTTGTTTTAAGGGCGCGGACGAGTTTCGAATTTTTATCCCCCTCGGCTTGCCAGCGAGGAGCTGCAACTGCACTTGCGTGAGCATACGTCCTCATGGTGAGATTTGTGACAAGAGAGGTGGTTTGTGATACGTATCACAGGCCTGTATCTCCTATTAAACACATCAAAGGATCGGACCAACACAGAACGGAGATACACTTGGGACCCAGTTGACAACTATATGCATCTGCGTGGGGTGGATTTTGGGTGGACGCTGACTTCAAGGGCCGGCATACCTCACCCAATTATAGCCTCGCGATTCTCCCAACAAGACTGCAGTTAGAGTTCATTGCATGTCAGTTGTATCGCATTTCAATTTTGATAAGAATGGGATACATCACGAGATTCTTCCAACAACACAACTGCTACGAGTTCATTGCGTCCCCATCATCTTGCATGTAATTTCCCAGGCTAACTACCACGAGCGAAATTCAAGATGATCGACATGCAATGGACTCGTGACAGTTGTCTTGTTGGGAGAATGGCGAGGCGAAGAAATCGCGTGATATATCTGTAGATATCCATAATAGTATGTGTCCATCATATATGCCCGGCCTCTCATGCATATCTTCTAAACTTGATCCTAATGGAATCGGTCCGTAATGTTTCGATTCGACTGATATGGCTTTTGTTCCTTGTCTAGTGGAGTTGTTGTGAGATGTTAAGGCTTTCGAACGTTGGAAGCATTTGACTTGTAGTTTTGTCACTTTTACACCGACTGTTCCGCGGAAATATGCCGAGCCTTACAGGGAGGTCTCGGCCTCGAACAATACAGCTTTAAACATAAGGGTAGCTGGAATTTCAGGGGTATGAGCATTAAGGGATCGTTCATACCGCGCACAAAAGCGGACGAAGGCGGACGAAGCCGGACAAAGGCGGAGGCATGTATGAGTGTGTGTGTCGAGAGAAATGAGACGAGGCGTGTGTGTGAGTGTGTGTGTGTCGAGAGAAACGAGACGAGACAAGACGCGCTTTCGTGCGCCTTCGTCCGGCTTCGTCCGCCTTCGTGCGGCTTCGTCCGCCTTTGTGCGGCTTCGTCCGCCTTCGTCCGCCTTTGTGCGCGGTATGAACGATCCCTAATGACGAGCGATTCGAGTTTTTGCATGATATTCTTAGCACCGTCAAAGATGAAACTCCGGTTTTTGACGAAACTCGAAATAATGGAAATTGAGGCCAGATAGAAAAAGGTGTAAACAACAAACCTCTGAATAGTCACTTCTAACAAACCGTAGACGTGACACAAGACTATAGCGATGCGAAATAATTGTGTGTTATACAAACTTCGGCTAGATTTTGGGACAGTGCATCTTTCGCATAATATCGTGCTATAAATGAATTAGTTGCTCCAATGATAACTTTCAATCTTCGCGAATTTACAACTTGCCATTCCAAATTTCGATTGTATTCTACTCTTTCGCTTCATCCAGTAGGGAACGCTTTTCTCACATCGGCTCAGGTATAAATATCATTTTGACTGCTTTCCTGCAACGTGTCCAAATCTATGTGGGCGGTTCGAGCATTGTTGTCTTTAGCTAGTGTTTTTGTTTTTGTTCGTCTGATTGGGAAAATTCCAGACTACATATTAGATATATGGCATCAATAGATGTCACAGAGATACTTCGGGCGTCGGCGGCATTTGTAGAGGTAGGTTTAAGAATATGTATGAGGAGTGTACTTGTACCAGTCACCTTTTATGTAATCAACAGCACTTTTTCCAGTGGGTCTATGTGAAAAGTTTCCCGAAATAGTCAACACAGTCATTTCCGTCTTAGGCCTCGGACAGAGTCTACGCGATTTGATCGTCGCGATTCAGTCGCCAAAGGCCCCGGGCAGACTTCACGCGATTTGATCGTCGCGACTGAATCGCGACGAGACAACTGTTACAACATCATTCCATGCCGATCAACTTGCATTCGGTTGTGATACTTTTCCAACCCGAAATTTTTGAAAGTGAAATGAAAATGAATGGAAATCTTGGCGATTAGATCGCGACGATTAAGTCGCGTGAAGTCTGTCCGGGCCCAAACACAAGTGTTACGAGTTCATTGCATGTCGGTCGTCTTATAATTCGGTTGTGATATTTTTTCAAAGCTATTAATCGTGACTAACTATCACAACCGAAATTCAAGAAGATCGGCATGCAGTAAAGTCGTAACACTTGTTTTTAGCGGTTGAATCGCGATAATAATATCGCGTGGACTCTGCCCGAGGCCTTAGGTGCATATGCAGTTATTTGAGCCTTTTTGCACTATTTTCACTTTCATTTACACATATCGCAAAGCTGCTCAGTTTGCTTTTTCATCCTCCACCAACTCGCATGTCACAGTGTGGCAGCAGTTGAATCCTCTTATAACCTATTTGAAAATTCCAGCCTCCTCAAAAACGACCTCGTCCATCAGATGTTGAACCTCAACCACGACCACCTGTGAACACAGCTACCGCCAATCCAGAGGACATACTTGCTGCGTTAGAGCAGGATTCTGCTCAGGCAGTCAACATAGATGAAACACACATAAAGAAGCTCACATCTCAGGTACTGTCCAGGCGTTGTTAATTGCTTTTTTTTCCTAATACTCTTTCGAAATGTATTGTTCGTGCTTTTCTGATACTTCTTCTTAGAAAAACATCAGAATAAATTTCTTGTGAACTTGATTTTGTCCAACTTATTGATAAAGAATGCTGCACGTAATGTTTGTTCGTACTGCTTGCGGCGACCTTGATATCCTTCTTCAATCCCTTTTTCTGCCTGATGCTAGCTTTCTCGTTGACACGAGCTATAGGGAGCAAAATTTTTAGAGAGTGCATATGAATGTGTTTTTTGCAAGGAAAAGGGCAACATAACACAACTTGAAGCAAGATGCATGCGCTTAAATATTCCCAGCGGATGCTGTTGTCTGGTTAAAGGCAGCGTCCAGGCAAATCTGATGCTGTGGGGATCTCACATGGATAGTAATTTTGGGGCCCTAACTAAGTTACGGGCCAATCGACAGCGCAAATGACTCACTAACGGCCGAGATATACGCCCCCAAAGTGGACCCTAGGATCGTATTTCGCAGGAACCGCGCTAAACATCAGTTTCGCATGGTTCCTGCGCGAAACTGATGTTTAGCGCCATGAATCCGAGAAATACGATCTGGAGTCCAGTTTGGAGGCGAATATCTTAGCCGTTAGAGCGCCATTTGAGCTGCTGGTTGGACCATGTCTTACAAGGGGAGGATACTTGATCGAAGTAGGGTTTTCACGTATATCGTATGCTGTTTCATGGAAAGGTTGATTCCAAATATACCTTTGATATCTGCTAAGCTCCTTCGGGAAGGAGTTATTGCTATTTTTTGAAGCAAAAATTCGAACGCTTGGCTACAGTCATTTTATTCAGAACTGAAGCCTGCGAGGTCAAGTGGAGCAATGGTCACTGCCAGGGCGCTTTAAGCAATCGGTGTCTACAGCCCAATGAACTTGAGCTAGTCATTATTTTTGTAAGCGCCGGAAAGTACTCAACACCTGTTTCACCTTAGCAAAACTCTGAAATTTTTTGCATCAAAAAATTCCCATAACTCTTTTCCCAAAAGCGCTTTGCAGATAACGAAAGTAAAGTTGGAATTAATGTTTTGTGCCCTATAAGACAGCATACAGTTCACATGGAAACTCCACTTTGACTAAGTATCCTTCCCTTGTTAGTTAAGGTCCCAAAATCACCGTCTATGTGAGATCCCCATATGTCCAGATTTGCCTGGCCGCTGTCAAGGACCGGGCATAATCATGCCATTTTATCGCCTCACATTCCATTGATGTCGATCAACTTGCATTGCGATTGTGAGTTAGTCTCGATTGGTCGTCTCGGGAAACTATCACGACTAAAATTCAAGATGATCGGCATGCGTTGAAGTGGTGACAGTTGTTTTGTTGGGAGAATCTTGAAGTGATGAAATTGCGTGATGTATGCCTGTTCCTTTATGCTAATAATGACTTGACGTAAGATGTGTTGCTGAAAATAAAGCTTCCTTGTTCAGCTCGAAAAGAAGGCACTGAAAAATCGAGAAATGCGCACAAAACATTCCGACGAGCCGAAGAAGTTTATGGAATCCGAAGTAGAGCTGGACACTGCTATTCAGGTGACAAATTTTTGCTTAGAAGGTGGCTTTATCGCAAAAAAAAATTTCAGGAAATGCACGTGCTTGCCACTCAGCCAGATTTGTATGGCTGTTTTGTTGAAGCTGGTGGACCATCTCTTATGTTGTCTTTGCTAGCGCATGAAAATTCAGATATCCTGGGTGCTACTGTCAATCTGTTGCAGGTACCATTAGACTTATTTCATTCTTATGAGTGCTTGAATGAATTATTTCCTTATTCAGGAACTTACAGACGTAGACATCTTGAATGAGAGTGAGGAAGGTGCTGCACAACTGATTGATAGTTTGGCGTCTGGAAGAATAGTTGAGTCATTTCTGACAGCTTTTGAGAAGTTGGATGAAAAAGTGAAGGACGATGCCGATGCGATTCATAATGCTTTGAGTGTTGTTGAAAATGTAAGTCTAGCTCCCATTCTTCGAGAGCTGTATGGCACGCGCCATACTTGATCCGCTTTTGGTCCGCTTCATCCACTTTACCATTGGTCAATTGGCTGGTTTGACCAATAACGAAGTGGATGAAGCGAATCAAGTATGGCGCGTGCCTATCTAGTACGTTACAAACCTCTTTCTTAGGCGGATGTAGACCATTCCTTCATACAGTTTATTACGTACAATTTTGCCTACCACAAACATCTCGTTTCTTTATTTGTTTGCTCTACACGACTTGTTCCAGATGATAGACTTCCGGCCAGAGACTGCGGAAGATTGTGTAAATCAAGGCTTGTTTTTATGGTTGCTTCGCAGAGCTTGTCAAAAGGTCTGCGACTTTGATTTGCGAGTTTTTTGTTTGCTTATACGTATTTGGTTAATTGCAGGGACAATTTGATGCGAATAAGATGTACGCTAGCGAACTAGTTGCGCTTTTATTGCAAATGTCAGAAGCAGCAAAAAGAAAGCTCACAGAGAAAGTTGATGGTATAGACATGCTGCTCAGAGTGGGTTTATGGTTTAGTCCGTCAGAGTTATGGGATATAATGCAGGTGTTATAGGCTTTAGCGGCTTACAAAAGACATGATCCTGAAAGTCTTGACGAGCGCGAACATATGGAAAACTTATTCGATGCGCTATGTGCTGCTCTCATGTTGTCAACAAATCGCGGAAAGTTTCTGGACGGCGAGGGATTGCAGCTGATGAATCTCATGCTCAGAGAAAGAAAACAATCTAGGGAGAGCGCCCTAAAAGTATTCTAAAGTCTTCCACAGTTTATCCGTAGCCGTGCTTTTTGCTAATGAAGCTTTGCAGGTTCTTGACCATGCCACGACCGGTCCGGAGGGCAAAGACAATTGCAATAAGTTTGTGGAAATTTTAGGTGAGTTTTGTTGTTTATTCTGTTGCTCGCCTGATATCTGTACGGTTTGTAGGGTTGAGAACGTTATTCCCATTATATATGCGAACTCCATCCAAGGTCAAGAGGAAGGACACAACTCCAGATGAACACGAAGAACATGTTTGTGCGGTAAGCGGCTTAATCTTCAAACAAATTAAATTTCGCGTTGTTATTTTCGTCCAGGTTTTGACCTCGCTTTGTTTTTTTAATAGTGTGTCTTTTGATAATCGAAATCATTGGAAATATTATTGTGTTTTGATAGAGTTTTGAATCAAATACATCTATTGTTCTTTTCAATATATCTTTGTTAGCACTATCGAACCCGTAATTCGCTCCCTACCTTTTAATACTCTCAAATCTCTGAGCAGAGAAACTTCCTATACCCATGTACTCAAAAGTCTTTTATCTCGGGATCATTACAAAAGCATATTTCTCTCAAACTTTGCAGATTCTTGCCTCTTTATTCCGTTCATGCAGCGAAGATGCCCGTCAGCGTATGATGAGTAAGTTTGTGGAGCATGAACATGAGAAGGTCGACCGAGCGATTGAACTCTTCATAAAATACAGGTAGATCTCTCTTTAATATTGGTTTTGGTACAAGCTCTTCCTTTTTTCAAGTTTCTTTTCGTAAACCTTTGGGCACTTTGCATATTTATATACCCTCAAGAATTTTTCAAATAGTTGTAGCTTGATTCTATCTTACATTTCCGTGTGTAAGCGCAGCATAGTTCGCCATAATGGCTTGTTGCTGTTCAGAGAAAAGCTTACCAAATTTGATGCCAAACGAGCCAAAACTGAGGGGAGTTCTGTCGATGAGGACGTCGATAGGTATGCAAAATTTCGTTCTGTTTTTCTTGCTCTAGTTTACCCATTGCTTTAAGAGATTATCTTGACCGGTTAGATGCCGGTTTGTACACTCTACAAAATCTTTCTCTGATATTGGCTGACGTCTGCGCTCACACGAGCTCAGCCCGGGATCGTGCATCCAAGTTGTTTTTCATGAAGCTGAAACAAGAGAAGATTTCTAAAGTATTGTTACCCGTGAGTTTTTGCTTATGTTCGTCTCGAGTTCTCTATTTGCCTGTCAAACATCTTCTTGTTACAGCTTCTCACTGAGTACCAAGCTAATATCGGCGATGGAGGAGATGAGGAAAGACGTAGAGTAGATTTATTAATAGCTAGGTTAACAAAGTCCACTAGAGAAAAAGAGTGAGCTTTATGTTTGAGTTTTTGTTTCATTACTTGTATTGTACATCAGTGGTAGTATGCTTTGTTATCATCGGAAATTGTACGGTTTTCTTTTTTGCTTGATCATGGACAAATACACTTGTATATGCTATGTGCTGTAAATTCCCTCAAAAGCAGGTATTCTTATGAACTTGTTGCTCGTCATGTTTTGTTTTCGACATAGCATAAATTATTGATGATAAATTTACTCGGCCTTTTGACTTCAGGCGATGTATATCGCATTAGTCCTAAGATTAAAGGCGAGGCGGAGCAGCTAAGATTCTCCACGTGATTGTAACATAAAAGCAAAAGTCTATTGGGAAATTAGTCCAATTGCACCATTTCGTCCAGCCTTAATGGCGCGATTACTTCCTCAATCACCATAGCGCAAGGTGTAAAGCTTTTTATAATGGTTTTTCAGAGGCTGTTGAATTATCGGATGGTGGATGGAAGGTACAAGAAAATCTCAGAGGTTTGCGAAAGTCCTATTATAAGTTTGTTTCACTAATGCTTTCTTGTATTTTAAGAACTTTGAATCCTATTAAAGTTGAAGATGTTATGATTGTTTTCGTAGATACTTATATCTACGACCGTAGATTGCAGAGCATGCTCTACGCTGCTGAAATGCCGCGTCACTATTTTTACGATAGTGATCCGAACTGGCGTAAGCGTTTGCCCATACAGCGCTGCACCGCAATCTACGGGTAGTCCGTGGGGTCAGAGACTCGTTTGGATATCATTTGCAATTCAGCGATGACTTCAACACTCAACCTGTGGACGGCGATAGTTCTGGTCCAACGTCCAGCAGTTCATCATCCTCTTCGGCTGTGAGACATGCTTATGCCATATTGGAGTCGCTGATGGAGCCCGTACCTAGAATAGGTATAATTAACGTTGTCGAAGCACTTACACATCAGCTTACGCAAGGTCCAGTGTTGATTGAAGTATCATAACGTCTATTAAATCGCAACTAAGCTGCGAGCAGAATTAGTCTAGTGCTGATGTCGATAAGAAAGTTGCCTACTAAAGTTTTGCGTCAACAGTGGCGATATGGTGCAAAACTTGTAGGTGTGCGCTCTGTTGCCATTTTTACGCGGAACTGACATCAGCACTTCATCTTGTACATCTGAAGAACTAAAGAGAATTGTCCACGGGGACAATGTATATAATCATTGTAGTCAAATCAAACATTTACCAGAACTTCGTGAAGAAACTTTCATTTGTGGGCGCGGAGTCTCTGTTCAAGTCCATTATGATTTTGGAGTGCTCAGTAACAAACCACGGATATACAACTTCATTAGCAGACAACAATTCCGCCTAGATAGGGTGAGTGTGAATTTCTTCTTTTTTTCCAGGATGTCGGACCTATTCAGAAATGTGGGCGTACTATACTAACTGATCTCTCTTTCAATGGTACTTACGTGAATAAAACCTTAGTTGGTAAAACATCCACTCGGGATTTGGTTAATGGAGACGTAATCAGTTGTGGACGCTCTGATACATTTAGTGAGTTGTACTAGCTCTTTTTGCTTATCTTCTCTTACGCTTGTTTAGTATTCGTGTATAAAGAACGCTCTGATGATATCTATCCTGCAGCACTGACAGAAAAATATATCATGACCGATATCTCTCTTGGTAAAGGAGGTTACGGTGTGGTGAGTCTGCAGGTTGATTAAAGCGGTGTTCTTAGGCCGTAATTTCACGTGCGGACGTTTCATAGCACGCAGAGACGCAGGACGCCGTTGCGGTTGACTGAGAAAGCTCGTTTCTGGAAGAGGCAGCAGACGGTAAGACCGATGATAGTGTGCTTGTTTGGAGAGACTTCGACAATTCGCAGTGGCTGCCTCTGTGCGTGCGATGAAACTTTGTACTTGTAAATAATATGCATGATTATTGAAAATTTTCATGACACTTTCCGCAATGTAGAAGCACCTAAAGTTGCCAGCCTAGACTTGCTAAAAAATGTTCAACTCAGGAAGATTCACAAGACTTTCTTATCTCTTTTTCTCTTCTTTTCAAGGCAAAATCTCCCAAAAAGTTGCTTGCTTCGTTTACGTGAGCAAACTGCTCTCTTGTCATATCGAATCCAAATATTTTTCTGTTTCAGGTTCTGCTGGGAAAACTGCGTCGCAATTGCTCAGAGGTAGCTGTGAAGATTGTTGATATCGCACAATTATCGCGCCGGTTCAGTCGGATCATTTCCAAAGCCATCGATGTGGAGAAGGAGGTGAACATCATGCTGCAAATCTCTCATGTAAGCATTCAGCCTGCTTTTGGTCTGTATACCCTGCTATGTTATCCTGTCAGTTCAGCCAAACTGCGTTCAGTTCATGGATTGGATTGAAACTGACAAGACTGCATACATCGTTATGGAAAAGGTTGGTGGCGGCGAACTCTTCGACAGAATCGTTGATCCAAAATGGAATGGAATGGTATGCACATATTGGTTATCTTTTCAGTTTCATTGATCTTAGGTTTAGTATAGTTTTTCTTAGCTTTTTTGAATACACTTAGACTCTGAGACTTACGGCGTGGCACAGTTTGCGTTAATCACATACTCTACCCTTATGCGATGGGGCCGCACCCGCAACGCGAAGCTTTGCGCGACCTCCATCGATGAGCTAATTCAATTGTTCAAGCCGGATACGCGCGAAATTGTTGCGGACCTCTGGCGTAGTGTTTGCGCGGTTGAAAAAGGGAATACGCCTTTGACACAGAGTGTAATGTGATCGCCATGGTGCGAGTGTAGGGTATTCATCATGTTTTACTCATTTCGCCTTTCATCCGTGCTTCATCAATGTGCGATGGAGGAATTATACGCCTTTTGATTTGTCCCAAGCACAGTGCCCATCATTCTTGTCATGTGCTTGCTATCGTTCACAATTGGAAATTGGGTATCTTCGAATCCTTATTGGATGGCCGGTCTTGCTGCGTACCAACGCAGTTCGACTCAGATCACTTAGCGCCAGCTGCATCTATCTGAAAGTTTTGAATAGAGTGCATTTATAATGTTTGCAGAGATGCGGTTTAGCTTGTGGGCACACTTTTTTTTATGTAGATCGGCGAAACAATGTTTTCCAGGGTTTTGGTGAGGATCTGTGCAAATTTTATGCGTGGCAGCTCTTGAGTGCTGTGGAGGTATGTCTGTCTCATATTTCAAGGATCAAAACCATGTTCCCCGAATACGTAGTCTAAAAGCAGGCTTTAGAAGTGAGGCACCTGCCTTGGTCTGTTCTCTAATGTGACCTTTAGGAAAAGAAATGGAATTCGTGGGAATGCTAGCTCTGAGCGAGCACAGCCAGGTGGCCTACCGATATTTCCCTGCTGCACTGCGTCTTGTGCGCTTGCCATTTGAGAAGGGAGCAGGTTTAGATGAGCAGGCTTTGATAGCATCCCCGCTGGATGTGTAGACCACATATACTACTATAGTAGTCGGGGAAGCATCGATTTTGCCTTGACGTTTCCTTTAATTTTATCTGAATTTACATGCTTCTATTAACCATAGTTTTAGCTCTATCTAGAATTTTTCTGTCAATGCCTGTAACAGTCCCAGTTTGTTTGGTGGCAGGGAATGAAGCCGGGGGAGGGGAGGAGTGGAGGAAGGAAGGGACGTAGAAAGCTTCTGATCTTTTGCGGACCAACTTCAAAAACCTGAAGGGGGGTCTATGCCTTCAAAATTTGTACTAGCTCATAATTCAGTATCTCCACGAGCGCAGCATTACACATCGCGATATCAAACCAGAAAATATACTTTGCATGACAAAAGACGACTACACTATCGTCAAGGTACGTGCATGAAAAGAATGAAATTTGCTACAATATTTCATTTGAGAATCCACTATCTGCCTCTAAATTTTACTCTAGCTGGCTGATTTTGGCCTCGCTAAGGACGCAGATGCCTCAACCATGAAAACATACTGTGGTACGCCTAATTACATGGCTCCGGAGATGATGGATAATGAGAAGATTCCTTATAATCCAAGAGTTGACATGTGAGTTCCTCTGTCCAGTTTTTTTTTTGAAAATTTTTGATGTAATGTTACAATCTCAAGGTGGAGCCTGGGTGTAGTGCTTTTTACCGGTATTTCTGGCTACCCTCCATTCAGTGATGACTATCAGGACATGGATCTGAGGTCACAGATAAAGAAAGGTGATTCTAGCACCAACAACTCATCATCTCGAAAAAATTTTGGCTAAGCAATTGTTCTGTTTAGGTCGACTCATATTTCATAATCAATGGAAATACGTGACTTTGGAAACACAGCACGTCATCAAAATGATGCTGAGAGTTGATGTAAGTCTTTGGAGAACTGAATAAGTTGCTTATTTTGACTTTTCAAGAAGAGTTATTTCAGCCCATACTGCGAGTGTCTGCAAGTGACGCTCTGAAAAAGTCATGGTTACAAAACAGCGAACCTGTCTCGAAAGCGAAGGCGATCGTAGCGAAATTTGTACAAGAACGGGTCAGTTTCTCAAAAGATGTGTTTAGGAGGTTTCAGTAGGTGACAACAGTAATCAAGCTTGGGTAGGCGCGGGTAGGGAAACGAAGGCCGCCAGTTTGAGCCGCCTCTCGAGTCTTTTTGCAATGTTGTTGCATTTCGTTCCACGACCAGTGGTACGCGGAGGTGGCCTAAGCTGGCGGCCTTCGTTCCCCCACCGGTAGGCGCCAGACTTAGCCGATTAGCTGCTTCAACTGGATGCAGCGCAACTGTCATGTCATGTTGAAGAGAAATCGAATTGGCGTCAACAATTTCGCTACAAAATCTTTTCATTGGTAAAAATTCTTTTTTTTAACTGCTCATTCTTCAAGGCCTTTTCATCAGGGGCGTATCGTTACGTGCGGGCTGCCGATTGGAAAACGTCGCGCGCGACAGGCTGCCAGTGACCGCACTTGGGGAATTCAGCCAGCATGACCCGCAGCACATAGTTTTTCAGTCTCTCATCCTTTGTTGAGGTCCACAGACTATTCTCATATTAGTTTTGCTTAATAACTTAAAGTGCTGCCACAAAGTTGTAAAATGAGGCCTAGCTCTTTCAAAGACAAAAAAGACAAAAATTGAAGAAGGTAAAAGACTAATAATATATTAGGTTGGTGCAAAAGTTTTCTCAGTTTTTTCAACCCATCGGCAAACACGCTAGAATGGAGATAAACAAACGCTTCAAAATGTATCCGATGCAGAATTTCTTCCTCTTTCCAGCTGCCACACTCACATTGTGTTTCGTTGAGAGAGTGACGAGATATTTGTTGGAAATTACAACCACTGGTTTTTACCATGTCCAAATTTCGCTAATTTTCAAAATTTTTTGTATGAGACTTTCGGAGGAGCCCTAATAACCAGCACATAGGGCAGACCTTTTGCCAACTTATGCAATTTTTTCTTTGTTTCAGCTGCTTTTTCAGATTTTTGCTAAATAATTCTCTAAAAGTCTTGTGTTTTGGAAAAATTGCATAACCTGTTATTGCACCAAACACTGCGAAATCTACAGAATACTGAGGATTCAGCACATGATTATTACTACCGCTACCATTACAAAGTAAATGAGCGATTTTCACTTCAAATTATGAAGATTTTGAAACATAGGTTACGCCAGTGCGCACTCCTGAAATTGAGAAATACTGCGATTTTCCCCACAAATTTCGCCTGTATCGGCAAAAAAAAAAAGACAAGTGTTAGAAGGAGGAGAAAAAGTTGCATTAAATGATGACTGAAGTGTCTAACATTTTGTGTTCTACGAGGTTAAAATAGGCTGAATGTAAAATTTGGTCACTTCAAAAAATAAATCGTAAATTCTGAAAAACAAGCCATAAGACTACAAAAAATTGCTTCTGTTGGCAAAAGATTTGCCCTATCTGGTGGTTATTAGGGCTCCTCCGGAATTCTCACACAAAAATTCTGAAAATTAGCGATTGGACATGGTAAAAACGAGTGGTTGTAATTTCCAGCAATCTCGTAACCTCTGCAGCGAAACACAGTGTGAGTGTGGCAGCTGGAAAGAGGAAGAAATTCTGCATCGGATACATTTTGAAGCGTTTGTTTATCTTCATTCTAGCGTGTTTGCCGATGGATTGAAAAAACTGACAAAACTTTTGCATCAACCTAATAGAAGAAGCATTGGTAATCTAGTATAAATCTAACAAGTTTTTCACACTGCTTCTTCCCGCGCGGTTACTGTAACGCCGCTTTGCGACGTTTTCCATTTGGCAGCCCGCACGTAACGAGCTCCCCCCCCCCTTTTTTTTATCATCTCCTGAAAACTACTCTTGTTCGAGCATCGCAGACGCCACTTCCCATTCCGTCTAACGTGACGCCAAATAACATCAAATCAGTTTCCGCGACCTGCCGAAGCAGCTAATCGGCTGTCTGGCGCACCTTACGATGTGGGGAAAGAGAAACATATTGTCAATGTATAAGTCCGCAATAATTTTTCTGGAATTTTTAAAAAATGGTCCAAAATTCCATGCTGGAGGACATACAAAGAAGTTAACGAGGATGCTTCTCTGTTGTAAACTCCATTCACTAACAAGTTCTGTCTACCAGTGGCGTATTTAGGATTTTCGTTCGGTGAGGGGTGGGGGTGGGGATAAAACTTCTTTCTCAACTGGACACGCGTGACGTCACCCGCACATTCTCAGAAAATTTTGGGAGACATCTGCAGAATTTTTTCAAATCACATTGAGTAACAGACAAATTTGGAATTTTGCAGATAACTCCGCCTAACCTAAGTACATTAAATCTTCTCAGACAATCAAAGGCTCTCAGCGGGCCCCACCAAAAGCGTCGTTGCCTTATCGCAGCCACTGTCGCTTCCCGCTGAGAGCTTTGTCGGAGCTTTGTCGGAGCTTGTCGGAGCGGGCTCGCTGCCCGCTGAGCCCGCTCCGACAAGCTCCGACAAAGCTCTCAGCGGGAAGCGACAGTGAGGCGATGAGGCCACCGCGCTTTTGGTGGGTCTAGGCGGTGGCTTTGTGGCTGCCGGCTGAGAGCATTTGATTGTCTGAGTTAGATTTTCAACTCCCAATTTGGTTCCCGTGAGATAAAAAGCACATTGGGCTTGCTGCTTAGCTGTGGTCCAGCTCTACTGTGAGGTGGTGAGACGGAGATCAAAAACCAATGAATCCAAAAAACAAGATTTTGCCAACAAATTCCACATCATTGGAAGGAGCTCTTCTAAAATTTTCGACTGATATAACAACGTAAAAAAATCCATGCTTCGCAAAAAGCCGACATATCTGCCATAATTCAGATCGCCACTTTAGATTTTTGCATCCTTTGATTAGATCAGACTATTTCACCCTTTTATTCGCATTAAAGACTTTTCTTTTTCTTTGAATTTTTTTCTCGTAACCCGTTTACCATCTTCAGAAGGATTTGGACAATACAGACGGTGAAATTTTCACGGAAGTGCAGTCTTGACAAATTTGTCTCCATTTTCATCACCTCGCCTTTATCGTAACTCTGCTTATTTTTGTAATATATTATTTGTTGTGGTCCCATCTTTTTCATCATGTTAATCGCTGTACACATTCGTTCCGAAACTTGAAGTCTTTCTGTGTCATTCTCGGTGCTCATCTGTTTATGAATATCACTCGGTGAATTTAGAAGCTCGACCAGACTCTTTACCATTGTTCATACATGTTTACCCTCATGAATTTCTTATGCATTGATTTTCCAGAAAAACCCTTTATCATCTTTCCATCAAAAGTTTACCTCGAAGTTTTGATCTTTCGCATATGCAGGTATTAGATGATGAAGTTTATTCTCATGAAGCTCTCAGCAATGCCATCTTCTATTTTCATCAAAATTGCTATTAATAATGTCTGTCATATTACTCGCCTTGATTTTTGTCTTCTGAAGACGTTAGTAATAAATAATCTATAATTACGAGATCAAGTGTTTGATGTAATACTGTCATTCATACCGATTTCCGCTCATCAAGAAAAGCAGAGATGATTTGAATTATAGGTGCGTCAAAGCTTTTTCCTCCCATCACAGGTACGTCAACGTTATCCAGTTTTAAGCACAACCTAACAAATGAGTATCATTGATTTACATCTCATTTACTTTTTCATGCATGATCAGCAGGGCGGTGCGAGAATTTTATTTTAGTGACTAGCGGGCGGTCCCGGTTTCACTCGGGTCTCCAGTTTAGCTAAGAAGAAGTTACCCATACTTACGTTTTTGAGCTTCTTCTACGCAAAAAGGGCTTTGAAACGAAATGCCCGCATCTTTCCGACATTGAGATTAAAATGAGCTTTACCATCCTTTGACTACATGATCATGGCGAAATGATTGGTTTGAGCATGTCAAGCCTCATTTTCCCAGATGTAAGTAAACAAATCAACAAATCAATAGAAGGATCTAGTAAATCGCCGCGAAAAGTAGCCTATGTTCTGTGCCGGGGTCCAAAACATAAGTGTGCAAAGTTTCAGCTCATTTAGTCCACTCAGAAAGATTTGTATAAAAAACATACTTATTAACAGACAAACACACTTTGAGTTTAATATATATAGAGATAGGAAGGGGGGGGGGGGGAAAAAGACATTTTTTGAGATGACGAGGCCTGGCGCTTTGGTCAGTCCTCCGGATAAATTTGTTGGGGGTGTTTTCCATAGTTGGACTAGGCTATGACTACCTCTAAAAAAAACAAAAAAAGGAACTTTCTTCTCAAGGATACTTCGTAATCTTTCAATTTTCAACAACTTTTTCTTGTAATGTAGAAACCACTTACCTGCGCAATTTAAACCTCAGCTCATTTGCTATTAGTGTTCAGCTGTTGTACCCTTTGATTCAACTGCATTGGCGGCTGGAAGGCGGGCTTCGTGAGTTAATTTAAGGTCAGGAAATGATCGGAGAGCACGTTTGCAGGAAAGACACTGTAGCGCGGGTGCGAACGACCGCTTTTCAGCCGCCAGTCTCGTGAATCAAAGGGTAGCTTTGCTTGCGAGGTTAGGAAAAGTAAAAATCTGTGTGCCAATGCATTCTATCTCAAGTTCAAAAAGGCTGAATGGGATGCTGCTCTGGAAAGTTGAAAAAAAAAAACATATATTGCCGGAAGCGAGCTCAGCATTGGTTTTAAGACTGCTCCGTTTTTGAGAAAAACATGCTGAAGTTATTGATAACAATGATAAGAGAATTATATTTTTGACAAAAAATGCCAAAAAAGTCATTGTAGGTCTCGGTCATACTTCACGCGATTTCAGTCGTAACGCGATTTGACATAACTCCAACTATTCATAACTCATCGTTAGGGCATCTTGATCTACAGAAGACAGGACATGTTGTCTGTGAAAGTTAATACACACTTTGCATTAGTCTGCAAGTGTTGCATTTGAAGACATCTGGCAGATTGCCAGACCGCGTCGGACTCGCGTGAAGTATGCCCAAGGCCTTAGGAAAATTGATTTTTCAGCATTTTTTTTCTCAAATATCATAACTTTTGAAAGAGGAGGTCGATCAGCAAAAACTTTGTTCAATTGGAAAGAGGGGGTCAGAAAACTTAGGAACTGGTTTTTTGCACTTTTGCAGTTTGGTTTATTGCACATATTTGAATTTTTGACGGGATTGCCCCAATCGTCGAACCTCGAAAGATCTTTTTCCAATTTTATTTCCGTAGTCAGAGCACAGTGGAAAGTGAACAAGGTGTCAATAGAAAGAGCATGATTCACTCTTTCCTACAAAAATGATGCCAGGCAGGAAAATTGTAGCAAGAAGAAATCACGATTTTCTGAAAATAGTGTGAGAGAACTTTCGGACCAGCGCAGTAAATCTGAATGTGCGTTTTTGCAACACTTTGCGCAATCTTCTCTTGGGGAAAATTACTCTCTAGTTCGTAGCTACTTTCCTAGTCGAATTGATCGCGCACCAAGAACAAGTCTTGAATCAGCTCCTTTCATTAGCGTTCGATTTTGGCATTGAAGAATTTCGTGAATTATCATTAATCTAAAAAATTGTTGAAAAAAATTATAAAAATTGGAATCATTATTATCGAGTTATCGTGTGGGGATGCAAAGAGTCTGGTTGGGCTAAGGACGAGAATCGAACATTGTGTTAGCCATATCCGAACTTTTTGCGACTACTTTGCTCAGCTATTGGTGAATTGATTGAATCGGGACCTTAATTTCTAGTTCATAATCGGTGCGATCTCACAGAAAAATTTCGTGTCTTAAGTTTTTCCACCACTTTTTCCCCTTCAACTCTTAGGTTTGTTGAACCTGTCCTTAAGAACTAACATTTATTGCTATGACAAAATGAATCATTCGCTGTATTTCCCAACGCACAGCACTTCAAACATGGCTTTGCTGAGTTCTTGCTTCTTGATTTGTGGTAATACGCGCTTGAAAGATTTCTGAAATAGTGGCAATTAAACATTCTGCATCCAGACTTGGTCATCCTAATCTCCCATAAAACGTACCCTTTCACCATTTTTGTCAGTGTAATATACAGAATCTGATTTTGTTGAATAGGTGCCTGCGTATTTCTCGGATTTCGGATCCTCTACATTTCTGGAAAACTGTAATTTTGCTAAATCCTCTCAATCTTAACAGGTCAAAATTTACTTACGCCTTGATGAGAACCAATACATAATGGCGAACTTTGAAGTAATCACAGGCCTTTTCCCTCATTGCTTCGTACAACATCCGTCTTTCATAGCTAAACTTACGCTTAACTTAAGTTTTTCAAGTGTCTATACTGACTATTGGTGATTCGCCGACAAAAGGAAGAACTGATGTTTGCATTTTGTCAGTATTGTTCTGGTAGTGCCAAAGATAACACAGTCACTGCTTTCTTTGAAGTCTCCGAAAGCCACACCAGATCCATCAATGCTGGAATCAAAAACGATGTTTCGAGACTTGCACTGGGGACATGGTCTTTTTGCACCGCTACAGTATGCTAGCCATAGCGAAATGCATCGGTGCATGCGATATCGCCTCCGCGTAGACTGTTTGTTATAGAAATGATCATATTCAGGGAGATATTGCCGCCTCCACTGACTTGTGCTTCTTTCGCACATGCTGTTGTATACCGTGCGAGGAACAGTAGCCCCAGGAGGCCGCACCTAACGTCGACATTCGTCTATCCAGAAATCGACTTGTGTAACGTCGCCAAATTTTCGATAATTAATGGGCACGGAGGACGAGAGTTAGCATACATAGTTCGGTGCAAATAGTCGCCAATCGATCTCAGTCGCAGTCGTTTTGCGCGACTGCACGTCAGGAGGTACGCCGCGCGCGGTGGCCGCCTTGTCGCGCTCGCCGCGTTCAAATCTTGGGCCCACAAAACCCCCTGCTGTTAAAGATTCCCGGTGGCAAAAACAGGTGGGGGGGGGGACAGATTCATGACTTGAATGCCATAAGTAACACTGCGCAAGTAGGGCTGCTGTATTGCTTGGAGTACGTTGCGACGTCGCTTCGCGAAAAATTCGCGCCGATCGTACCTCCTGACAGTTCCTCGCTTTGCGCGCGGCTATGCATCCGCAGCGCGAGAGCCTCGCATGCTAACATCCTATCTACGGGTTTGATTTAATTCTCAAGCAGAAGCGTGCGAACGCTGCGCGAGGGACTCGCGAGGCGCATGGGCCGCTGCAACGAAAACTACGATTGAAACGGAGTGTACGTTTGTCGCACTGTCCCATTCAAACTACTAACTGTATAGCGATAGGTTTGAAGATTGGATCGTTGCCAATGTTGTCGACTTCTATGTAATATCGATTGCCAAGACGATGCTGAGCCGGCACCACTTTCTGAAATTATCCTTCTCTTCAAGTGTCCATTTGTCGGCAGAGTCAGTGGCCCACCTGTTTGTGGCCCCAAAATCTAATGTCGCTGGCCGCGCTAGCTGCGACTGGCAAAAGTGACAGTATGAAGAGAAACATTGTAATGAAATGATTCACACCGAATATCGAAGATGTTTTGCTGTGAATGTTTACCACGTTTTCTGTGCTGATCAGTATGAATCTTGTTTGCATCACAGAGAATGTCTGGGTATGGTTCTATTTCAGCCATAGCTAGAAGGGTAAGGGACGTCACGGCGCCAATAGGTTCCTCCTGCGCGGACCTGTACAGTGTGTCCTAAAAAATATCCCTACTGTTAAACTTGCTCTGATTCCTCTGCCAGACTTCTGTACCATTTTCTAGAACTGGCTCCAACTTGGATCTGCAGTTTGGTGGATAGTACCAATCCCTCTTTGTTACTGTAAGATTACGGTAGAAACTCGCAGCGTATCTGCATTTGCAGTAGCTATGTCGGAAGGTCTCCAAAACACCCAAAATTCTTGTGGCGGAGTTGCTGAAGGCGCCATTTCCAAAGAACAACTTTTTTTTGTAATGCATTCGAGGCGGCTTTGTCAAAATTGCAAAAACTTCAAAATTCTCTTTTTACATTTACTTGATGTGTGATCTCCGAACAAAGCTCCACGGTAGCATGCAATGTTTAATTTGGGAACAGCGATACTAATTTACTTAGTGGCAAAACTTCCAGCTTTTTGAAATCTTTTTTGAGGCAAAATTTGATTTCAAAGCTGCAAAACCTCACCTGAGTTCATACGGTAGTCCTATAATAACGAAGAGAAATTGGTTCTTTTCTTCACATTGTAAATCTCAACTGAAGCCGGCTCCACACAATGATACATAAGAGCCGACGAAAGACACCAGAGCAAGAGGGATATTCTAAACAAACTGTATAGAACTTTTCTGTTTGAGTTTGTCATTGTCAGATTTGTTCGTGTGAATATGTGCTCCATAAAATTCCTGGGTGCTTTACACAGTTGGCGTATGGCATGAGCGGGTTCTTTTAATTTGTACCACTACCAGTTGACGGCATCGACGTAAATAGAAGTCTCCCTTGAATTTAATCGCAGTTGTAGTGAGAATAATGGCGGAATGAGTATTAACAGTAGTAGTGGTAAAATTCGGGATTATTTTCTAGCCAGTTCATGTGTCAATGAGACTAGAATGCTCGAAAATGCTTGCTAGGACCTGACAAGGTTCTAGCAAGCCGTAATCTGGCCCAAGCGGGATCAGGCCGAATCGTCGGCTGAATTTACGCGCTCGTCGCGCTAGAGGTTTGCGCTGCATACGCGTGATGTCGCAAAGAGCGAAGAGATCGAGGAGAGAGCAAAATATAGTAAGTTGCAACTCAGTTTAGGCGGAAGTTGAACTGGCGGGAGTCCGCTTCGCAACGATTCGCGCCACTTTGCAGTCTGCGTCTCTTCATTCTAATCTGTCTCGCTGAGCCAGTGCGGTGCGGACGCGCTGCTCCACTTGGGATGTTTCGCCTAGTCCGGGTTGAAAAATACTGTAGCTAGCCGTTGACGCGACGCAATAACCTCGCGATACGGACTCCCGCCATGCCAGTTTTGGCCTGCTTGGGATTGGGGCAGAGCAAACGTTATAAGGTAGAGATTAAAACACAGCCCACTTTAAATTAATCAGTTTTTAGAGGTGGTAGTTCAAATAGCATTCCTAGGTTAGGTTTTAGCTTTGAGTTCGTCAAAGAGTACGTGCGCTGAAGAGTTTGGAAAGCATCTAGCATAACAAAGGTCATTATTATGTTTTCGTGTTGCATGTATCATGTCATTAGCGGGTGCAAGTGCAAGCTTTCCGAGGATGAATCGCAAAATTTCCAGAAGTGAGGACTATAAGTTGTTAAAAATATAAAATGGTTTGATGTCGGCAATCTCTTGATTTTTTTCTCTGAACACACTCAAAGGGCACACTCATCCTGTCCTGGAAATTTACGTTCTGATCATGAGTTTCTTCATATGGTTTTAACATAAAGGACTGTATGATGAAGATATTATTTCAACGCACCTAGTCGTAGTTAAGTTTGAACTTTTCAAGTGAAACAACCAACTGTGACCTCTTCTTATGTATCCCTCCCCTCTCCAAGGAATGATGCGTGTTTGACAGATAGAAACCTACATATCAATGGCGTACCCGGAATTTCCATTTGGGTAAGGGGGAAGGGGAGGACAAAAGTTTTTTGCACGGCGTTAGTTGGGATGCCTTCAAAGATTTTTGCGGGCCCATAATCCCAATGTTCCAGAAAAAGGACGAGACGGAGGAGGGGACGTGGAGCCCGCCATGCTCCGAAAATTTTTTTTCGCAAGGCTAATTCGAATTTTTGAAGTTTTTGAAAATTAGTTTATTCACTTACGTGTATAAACAAGTCATTTACACATATTTACAACTCATGGAAGTAACTTTCAAAAATTACGCGACCTATTCTCGGGAAAGGGGCGCGCGTATCCTCCCCCCCCCTCGATACTCCATTGCTAATTTGTACCGTTTCCTCTTGCATGAGTTGTAAAAATATGCAAATAACTTGTTTGTACTTGTTGTTAATTGAATTTTCCAAAATATTTCATATATCCAAATTAATCTTGTAGATGATTTTTCTGGGGTGACTGTCGCCACGCTCCCTTTTCCAAGGTTTTGTTGTTATGGTCATGCAAAGTTGTCGGAAAGCATCCGAAATCCTCAGAGTGCGCAGGAGACTAACGCCACGCACCTTCCGAAAATTCTCTCCCTCCCCCCTTCCCCCTCCCCTCCCCCTCCGGGCGGAATTTCTGGGACCGCTACTGATTGTGACGATTCTATTCGCCCTTCACTGATTCTGTGAACTTTCCTTTTTTGTGCTTTACATGTATCTTGTGACAATGAGCTCTTAATGAATTTGCTTGCAACCCTCCAGTTTCCTTCTTCTTCAGAATGGTAGCGCGTACACGTTCGAAAGGAACAAGTAGTTCATCAGTAAAGGGCACCAAGCCCTTGATTGTTGTCAAAAGTGAACCTTCTGAAGGTAAGATCAGTGTTCAAACTAAACAATGATCATTTATATCCATAGGTTTCAGAGGGCCCTAGCAGCAGCCAAGCAGAACCTGCCACATATGTTCCAGCTCCTGGTGAAGTTGTCTGTGGTTACGATGAAGAACCAGAAGTGGAAGAGGTAGTGGATGTGGCTGTCATTTGTGCCTATAAATCATTTTCCTGGGCAGTTCGTGCATTTTTCATGCGCTCAAAAAGCTAGGACACTGTCATGAAGAGTGTTTAGCACTCACGCAACACTAAAAATTTTCAATAATTAGCAAAAAAAATAAAGCAAAAAAATGGCAAAAAACGCAGAAGATTTTGCCTAAACTACCATGGAGAGGGGCTCTTTTTTACGTTGATCAAAAGTTATATCAATCTATGTAATAGCTTTATTTACTGAGTTACGGACGTATACGGTAGACTCCAAAACACGATCTTTGAATGCAGGGAGGGAGAGAGGGATGATTTTCAGTGAGCTTAGGATTGCTCTGATTGAAATAGATGCTATTTCTGCGAAACTCTTTTTACAATTAGATTAGAGCTATGAAACTCAGATGTGGAATCACCGCGCATAGTTATCGTGCATTTCCCAAAATTGTTCCCATAGGTGCTATCAACGTGGCTGCCTTTCGATCGTTTCAACATGTCAGGTTTGAATAAGCGCCTTGAAGGCAGCGTCCAGGCAAGATCCATCCACCCAGAGTAGCACATAGTTGTAAAGAGGGGCCCATGGGTATCCGATCTGCGTTGGTCCAATCCTTTGACGTGCCCTCTAAAAGGAGATACGGGCCTATGATACGTATCACAAGCCGCCCCTTCGTATCACAAACCACCCCTGAGGACGAGTGCTTACGCAGGTGTGCGGTTGCAATGCAGTTGCAGTGCAGTTGCACTGCACACTGCAATGCAACTGTATCCGTGCAGTTGCAGCTCCTCCCGCTGGCAGGACGATGGGGACGAGCAATTCGAAACTCGTCCCTTGAAGAGAGGGTCCCCAAGAAGAGGGTTTTTTTTGGAGTTTTGAACAATCTGGACTTCATAACTGTAATCAGGGCCACGGAAAGGCCCCAGAATGGCAGAAACATGAGAGGAGAAATTTTGCCCGGACGCTGCCTTTAAATTTTCTGGAGTCAACGTGTTAAAACGAATGAAAGGCAGCCGCGTTAGTACCGCGTTAGTTATTGTACCTATGGGAACAATTCTGGGGGATGTACCATACATATGATATACATAGTTTCCAAGTGGATCTTTATCATCTTCGGACCTCCACGGAAAAATTATGAGTGTAGTTGATATCTGGTGCAGCCCAAATGTTGTAATTTCAGGAGACTCAAGACGAAGTTGTTGATGTAGTGAATGTGACGACTGAGGAGCAACCTACTAGAGATATTATCGATCCAAGTCCTATAGAAAGGGCAAGTTGTAGATGAATTTAGTTAGGAGTTTTGATTTTCTATTTATCCGGTCGAAGATAATTGTACTCAAATGAATATTACTTTGCAATTTGTAGATTTCTTCACTTCGTTTGAGAGAAGGAACGTAGATCACAATAGAGTCGTCTTTTTTCATCTGTCGAAAAAGCAATATTCATGATTACGCATGGTTGACTAACGATCGAATCTTTTTGAATATCAAATATGTACTCAGATGCTTCTGCAGCGTTCTACACATAAATAGTCTTTGCTCTTACGCATATCCTTGCTAGGAATTTCAAAACTCTCGCCATAACCTTTCTTGCCAAAAATGATCATCTCTAATTCAGAGACTTCGTGAAAAGCGAAACTTCAATGAGGGTGATTGGACAAGCGAGGAGCTGAAAGCGCTTTACGAGGGAATCACTACGTAAGATATATTCGCTCAGGAAGGTCTAGGACTTTCAGTAATTTTTAAATATGATTGAAAGCTGACTGCCGCACAAGAAGGGCTTTGTGCCTTACGTTCTGATTAGCGTTATGTTATAAAGCATAACTCAATCACTTCTTTTTGGCAGGTACGGTACGAGGCAAGACGCTTTGGAAGTGATACAGATGAATTATTGCCCCAAGAAGACTGTAGGTCAGGTGATGTGAGTTGACAAATATCTCTGTAGTCTTTTCTCTTAGTCTGACCACTGCAGGGCCAAAGTCGAAGAAATCCGGGAAATGATTGCTGAAAACAGGGAGGATCGTCGTACTATGCAGACGGAACAGTGGAATAGGTTAGGTTACCGAAATGTGTCTGCTATACCGCAGTATGTGATGATGCCGGTAAGTTTTTTTCTTGAAGAATATAATAAACAAACACAACATGTAGAGATCCTCTAGAAGTTCTGAATTTCACTGATCAGCTAATTAATTGAGCTGCAGTCTATTAGGCTCGTTTACTGATTTCAAATGATTTCGAAAAATTTGCGATTGATGTCATTGTGTAGACCATTGGGTAAACCTTTACTTTTCAAGCCAGTCGAAAACTGGGAAGCTGCTATACAACGTGTTAATCGTCAAATTCGATCACATACTGACTATCCATTACGTTCTGCAATCCAGGTAAGCAATAGTCCATTATTATAGTGAAGTTTCTAAAAAAGTTCGAGCACTTGTTGGGTTCAATTTTACCAGTTCATTTTTTCATCAAACATAAATTTGTCTTGGTGCCTCGTTGAACAATGCTGTGTCGAAAAAAAGTGATTTTGTAGCTCATCTGGGCTGTGAAATTGGACAAATGACTTGTTTCTAATTGTGTGTGGTCAAAACTTTTTTTTAATGATATCAAATCTGACAAAGCTAGTTGACTGTAGAATATCTTTTCGAAGTGTGGCTGCAGTCGCGACCTCCCTCATTTTTGATTTGGAGCCATAAGCCCGCAAGAATTGTGAAAAGCATTTCAAAATTTCGTATGCATTGGTAACGCGACGTTTTCTCACTTGAAAAGTGCTGTATCCCCTATCCCCCCCCCCTCCTCTCCCTCTCCGGAGGAAAGCATCTCTCGGACCGTCTCTGGCGGGAGGCTATCTGCACAAGCTTTTAAGTGGTAAACTTATGGATATAGCTTGTCTATTTTCTTTTTCATTTTTATGCAAGTAAATTGAGCGGTAACAGACCAAAATTGGTGGGTTAAACATAGAAAGCAACGAAGATACCAGGTAAACCGAAAATCTAAACATCTAGGTAGCTTTTTTCTATAGACAGCGAGATGTAACTAGTACTAATCATTCATAATAATTTGCACAGTCGGCCAAGCGTGCTTGGGTGCCCCGCGCCCATTCAAATGGACCTGGAACCTCACGCTAGAAAGGTGTACCGACTGAAACCCTGTCATACCAGACTTACCGGCAAAATACTACTCTGGGCAAGCTGCAGGCTACTAGTATCACAAGGCGAGCTAAGTATGAAGGTTTTGCCAAAATACAGGGTGTCACAAAAATAAGTACACACCTTTTAATCGTTGATATCTCCCTTCCCATTGTGTCTTTTTCAGCCATTTAAGTGTAATCCTGAAGAGGAGGCTTCAACTTAGATTTACAATATCGATCGCTCTTCGTTACTGTAGGATTACTGTAGGAACTTCGACAAGGATTTTAGACCGTTGCAAGCCATATTCTGCCTCGGAACAAAACCAAACAAGCCAAAAACTCTTATACTATGGTAGTGGAAGCCGCTGATTTCGAATATGAAACTTCCACTTGACTCTGATGCTTCTTTCCTAAGTTATCCCGGGTAAACCCTAATAACCGAGTTACCAGCATTTGCCGGAACTGTAATTACACTGTCGGAAAAGCTGAAAACACCCATAAAAAATTGTGTAACGGAATCGGCGTGCGCGAAAACCCTAGTACACGATTTTTCAGATTTTTTGAGAAAATTTTGTCGGATGGCTTATTTCACAAGGGTTCCACATGCTGGAAGTTCTTACCGTAATCCTACAGTAACGAAAAGCGATCGGTGATTCGCTCGTTGCTGTAAATCTAAGTTGAAGCCTCCTCTACAAAATGGTACTTGAACGGCGGAAAAAGACTCAGTGGGAAGAGAGATATTAACCATTGAAAAGTGTGTACTTACTTTTGGGACACCCTGTATAATGAAACAGCAAGATATGGACTTCGTATGTGTTTCAAGTTGCATGTAACATCGTCTAGGTTTAGCGCACTAAGGAGGTCATTATCAAACAAAGATTCTCTGAGTTCTTTTGTGCTGTACTGGCAGAAGACATCAACAGGAAGGTAGTTGACTAGACCACACACGCTGCTCGCTGCTCTTATAATTTGTGAATTCTTTCACCAACGACAGAAGCCGGTATGTTGGAAGTGATCTGTGAGATCCTACACAGAATTTTCTTATCCATCAGATGAAGACGAAAGTTTATAATTCCATGCAGTTCAAGAGCGTCCGGAAAATAGTGGTGTGCAATGCTTTCCTATTTAACAGAATTGAAAAGAAAAAAGGATATTAAAATCTATCGAGGAAAATTTCCGATGAGCATAGTTTCGAATAGGTGAAGTCGCTTATTGACGTCATTCTTTTTTCTAAAATTTATATCGTGGTTTTAGTGGCCAGGTACATCTATAGCGTAAAAATTACCAAATTTTCGGATTTGGTGAAGGGGACTAACTGAATTTTGGAAACAAAAACGCTTTTGGAGGCTAATCGTTTAAGGTGATAGGATGTTAAATTTAGAGTGTCTTCATTCTCCTTATGCCTCATGTTCGTTTTATTTGCGGGAAGTCTCATGAGTCAAGTAAATTAGTGGAATGAAAAGATTTTTGAAGCTTTTGTTGGAGCGTTGATAGAGTTTAGAAGGGTGAACTGGGTACGAACTGACAATATTCGATAAGCCAATTTATAGACTACATTGCTAGTGTTTTCATAATATCGCTATCGATTCTGTCGATATCCATATGATATTGACAGGATCGATAACGAAACTATATTCAAATTATATCGATTCGAAACATTGGACCACAAGAACGCTGAACTGCAAAAAAGAATACTTTGCGCTTAAGATGTATCTGCTCCTCGGGATAATCTTTCCAACTATGTTTCACTGTAAATGTAAGAGGAAGACCCAACAGCAGCAAACGATATCTCATCTTATCTCAACTAATTTCACTCCGAATTTAAGTGGAATAAGGGAGAACGTGGTTTGAAGCGTGTTCTCGCCCTGTGACCTTCTCATTAGTTTTAAGAACAGATGATTGAGAAAGTAACTTTTTCTCAAGTAAATATTGAGCTGGTGGTTATCTCATTTTCCCACCGAAATTTTCCTTGTGTGACTATTTTCGCTTCTTGCTACTGTATTCTTCCTAGCAATAAGGGTCACACGGCACGCTTGATCTACTTGATCTGCTCGATCTACTTCATCCACTTCGCTATAGGTCAAATCAGTGAACTGACCAATGCGAAGTGGATCAAGTGGATTAGGATTAAGTGGATCAACCACATCAATTATGGCGCGTACCTAAGACTCTGTCTCCCGCAACTTCTCTCTTTTCTCCTTCTTCATATCCCTCTTCTACGTCGGGGTGGAAATTTTTCTTTGGCACGGTCGGAATATTGGAATCTTGTATTTTTTGTTAATAGACCATCTCCTCCGTGGATATAACAATCAACTTTTCAACAGATGGATTTTGTAGCGGCAATCGTCCACTTTTTTTTCAAACGCTGCAGCTTATTTCTATACCTGATTTCCGGCTTTGTGCTTTTTTTGATTTAGCCGTCTCATCTTTTTGTAGACGGTCTGGAGTTATGTAGATCCTTGTTCAGCTTTACGAGAAGTTTTGGTGGAGGGGCTATACCTATTATTGCAAATATGAAAATTGTTTGTTTTGTTTGTAAGAGAAGTTAGTGTTAGTGAAACATATATGTGCATTACGATTTGCCTTTCTAGAATGCTTTGAACAACAAACCACGGGATGCTGCAGAACCCAAAGTCTATAAGGTAGTGTTTCTGTCATTTTTCAGTATTAGTTATTTACCTTGTTTACAGGTAACCGACTCTCGTGTGGGACGCGGCTATGGTAAAGAGCAGGCAGTAAGCTGGCAACGTCTTGGCGCGTTCTTTGCTGGCGTAGTCGAGCATGCGCGTCCGCTTCCACCTTTAAATCCTCTAGGTTGTATCTCCAGCTTCTACATCTTTACTTTTCAACTATACTTTTATCTTTTTATTTTATTTATGAACTTTTTTTACAGAATGTGCAATCGCACTACGCATTGTTGACGATATCGAAGACGAAGTCAGTCGCACACTGACAGATGAACACAAAGCGATCATACGTGGGTGGCTGGCAAATATACAAATGCGCAATCTACGCGATTTTGCGCCAGATACACCATATTCAACGACGAGTGCAGCTACGGTAAAGAGAGCATCTAGTTTTTGCATTTTTATCGGACAGGTTGCTAGATGGTTTTTGTGAAAACTTCTTCTGAAGGTGCATTTTCTCTTCGAGGTTGTCTGACCGGGCAAAATTTACGCCAAAAACCCACTTTGGATATTGAAATCTAGTAATGTAGTAATTCAGAACGGTAGTCTTATATCATGCGTAATCATAAAAGTTTTATATTCCAGGTTTTGCTTGATCCACTACGCAGTCGTCTTTGGAACATACCTCCTGAAGCTTCACAACTTCCGGAAGTCGCTGAAGAGGAGCATATAGAGTCACTACTTGATTAGTGCTGAAATGAAATGTTCCCCTCTCATTGTTTTCCGAAGATCTCTCGGCGTTGCGTGAATAAGCACTAACGATTTTTTTAATGTTGATATCGTTCATTTCACGGGCTAAGTGTAGATATTTCTATTTGTTGTCTGTTGTGGCTATTTTGTATGCGGCCAGCTGTTGTTTTGCAGAGGATTAAATAAACGTCTAAATGTTGCAGAAAATGTGTATCTATAATTTATCAAATGATTACATCTATATACAGGGTGTCTCAAAAAATGTAAACACTGTTTGACAGTTAATAACTCCCTCGCTTTCATGTCTTTCGCTGACCTTCAGATACCATTCTGTAGAGCGACATTCAACTTAGGTGTACAAAGCGAATCACCTATCGGCTCTCCGTTACTGTAGGATTACGGTAAGAATTTCAACAAGGATTTTAGGCTGTTGGAGGCCATATGTCTCGGAAAAATACCAAGCAAGCCAAAAACTCTTATACTATGGTAATGGAAGCGGCTGATTTCGAATATGGAACTTCTTTCTTGCTAAGATGCTTTTTCCCAAAGTTATCGACGGTTAACCATAATAAGTAATTTCCAGTATTTGTCAGAAATGTTATTACGCCGTCAAAAAAGCTGAAAGCACTCGTTAAAGCTGTGTAGTGGAAGCAGTATGCGCGAAATTCCGCAGTGGACGATTTTTCAGATTTTTTCGAAAAGAATTCTGTCAGATGGGCATGTTTTACAATGCTTCCACATGCTGAGAGTTCTTACCGTAATCCTATAGTAACGAAGAGCCGATCGGTGATTCGCTCAAACTGCGGATCTAAGTTGAACCTCGCTCTATAGAATGGTGCTTCAAGCTCGGCGAAAGTGAAAGCAAGGGAGTTGTTAACGATCAAACAGTACTTTTTTGAGGCTCCATGTACATACTAGAGGTAAATACGAAGTTTTCTTAAAAATCTTTACAGCTTCGAGTTGAATTCTAAGTACTTTCAAAGCCAGTCCAAAGTACCAGTTCCTGAATAACTCGTAAAAGCAAATGACCTTTGCAAGGAGTTGTTACTGCACTATAAATAAGAGCTTTTACTTGGAAAAGCTGCTCTGATTCAGAATTCTGTTTTGAGATCGCCCCATTCCTGGTATGGATATTGAGCACGTATATAGCTTCTTTTTGCTACAGGGTCCAAACATCCCACCTCTAGAGAAATTATTAGGTTGTCCCGAAAGTTCTCGGTTTTTTCAAACCACTGTAAAACCACTCACAATAAAGACCTGAGTGAATTTTAACATGCATTCGATGCAGCTTTTCCTTCTCTTTCTTACCGTTGCATTTTCGAACCGCAATCCTGTATGCTTTCTTTAATAATTGCCAAAATTCTCCACCCGTCAATTTTATCTGCTCAAAGTTGAGCTAATTTTTAAAAATTTCGTTTCAACGTTTCGAGAACGATTAAATATGTATCAAAGACAGCAACTCTCGGACTATAAGGCGAAAATTTTAGATTCTCCTAGTCTGCTGACTTTAGCTTCAAAAAATTATTTCTTCGGAGGTCTCCATTTTGGGCAAAGTCATGAAACACGCAACTGCTAAGAAAACGCGAAAGCCTTTGGCGTTTCTGCGTATTAAAACATAATTCTTATTAAACATCATTTGTGCAACATAACCAACTTAGATTCGCTTCGAAAAAGCAGCTTTTTGGAGTTTTTAGTACTTTTACGTGTTAAACTTAATCAAAAACCCGTGGTTTTTATTGAACAAATAATTATAACGGACTTGGTAAACGCGGTTTGTGTAATCTAAAATGGATACAGTGTAGCCAAAGGTTTGCTCTACATAACAGTTGCCAGCGCTCTTTGAAAACATCAGAATAAAAAATTCTAAAATTCAGAAAAGATTTGGCGTCACTGCTGAGCTGCTCAAAAAGCCCTGGCGATAACATTGCAAAGACAGGGTAGATCTGAGAGCAAGTATAACTGTAAGAAAGAGAATAAAAATCTAAATCGAATGGTGCCTGAGCCGTCTATGGATTGGTGTTCTGTGAGTTTTAGTGAGCGATGAAAGAAACCGACAAAACTTTCGAGCAACCTAATATAATAGCCCTTTCAAGGCCCAATCAGATCATAATCCGCCGTCTTACGTGTGTTTGTAAAGTGCAATAGCAGAATAGCGAGCGTCAAGATTTCAAAAATGTGAAAACTCTAGAAAAGAATGATGTACTCTAGAATATCATGAGGTACCGGAGGAGAAAATGATGAAGAAGGGGTCGTTTAGGGGCTTTCCGGGGGAGGGGGGGGGGATCGTTTTCGAAAGAATTGTGCATGACGTCATGCTCAACTCTGCTCATAACTTGCTTTAAAGTAATGCTTGCAGCTACGGATAGCATATTTGAATCTTTATAAAGCTGAATGTCTGTTTGTATGTCTGTCTGTCTGTCTCTCTGTCTGTATGTATGTACGTATGTTCCGAATAGAAAATTCCATTTCTGAACCGATCGGGACCAAACTTGGCACACATACACTTTGGGCCCCGGCGGGTGTCATAGGCTACTTTTCGTCAGCGATCGATATCGATTTTATCGATTTTTTGCAAAATTTGAGCTACGGGGAGTTGGCACAGGGGGGTAATCGAGCATGGGGATTCCGAATACAATATTAGTTTTTAAAATCGTGCATTACTTTTATCGACTTTATCGATTTTTTTGCAAAGTTTGAGCTACAGGGCTGGGATTTGGCACAGGGGGGTAATCGAGCATGCTGATCACCCATCTGCCAAATTTCAGCCCCCTAGCTCAAATTTTGCAAAAAATCGATGAAATCGATAAAATTAATGCACGGTTTCGAAAACTAATATTGTATTCGTAATCAGCATGCTCGATTATCCCCTTGTGCGAAATCCCAGCCCCCTAGCTCAAATTTTGCAAAAAATTGATAAAATCGACATCGATGGATAGCGAAAAGTGGACTGTGATACCCGCCGGGGCCCGAGTGTATGTGTGTCAAGTTTAGTCCGGATCGGTTAAGAAATGGAATTTTCTATTTGGAACATACGGCGGAGCCGGGTAAGCCAGCTAGTTTTGCTATAAATCTGGTTCAGAACATATGTGTAGCTTCTTCAAAAGGCCAAACGAAGTCAGGTGCTCTTCTGTGTCAGTGGCCCTTTCTCAGAAGTCAAGAAAATCAAATTCTGATAATTTCAGTATAAAGTGCAATCTGGCAACGCAGTCTATCTCCAGTGGAGAGACTAACTGAATGATGCTAGACTTATTGTTAGCCAAAAAGGGAAGGATACAGAGTTCCGCTGGTAGATTGAAAAAATGTAAGCCATCAGAAGTGCCCTAGAACACCGGGCTCAGTATCTGCTCTGCTTTTTTGCGAAATAAATTTGTGAAAGAAGTTATGAGCTTTTGAGAGTCTAAAGTCAAGCCTCAGGTGACATAAGACCAGCGAGTTATACACAAACACTTTTGCGAATTTTCAGTAGCTCTGTCCTTTCCTTATAGTTAACATACCCAATAAAAGTGATCACACCTTTCAGGCGTTTCTATGCAATTTATCTATTACCAGACCAAAGTGCCGCTTCGCGGCACTTTGGTCTGGGCGTGTGCGAAGTGGGCATAATGTAACAGTTATTTGGCGTTTTTCATGGCCAAGAAAATGTACGTTATGGATGATATCGCCTCGCTGGGCTGTAATGGTATGCGCATAAAGTTCTGCATTCAATCTTTTCATACTCTTGCAGTCCAGTCTGCTTACATTTGCCACAGTTAACAAAGATAGACCATGTAGAAAATTGCGAAAAACCAATTTTCAAATATGTGATGATTTATGTAGGTAGTAATTATCCTGTATTGTCAAATTCTCAAATAAAACATGGGAGCACTGAGAGCAAGGAGTAAATCTCAAAAGCTTAGTGTATGGAGTTGAGATCAGTTGAGTAAAATGATAGATTACTCGATGATGTACATAATAGAAAATAGACATGATTTGCTTTTGAGTAGTAAGTGAATATGAAGAGGAGCAATGAGAAGCATGAAATTGTAGCAAAAACGTGTATGGAATATTGACGGTATATCAATGCGCTTTGGAACAAACTTAAAGCACTGCTTTTATTACGATGTTCCTTACTCGCGTTCCAGTTTTAAATACTTTCACGCCTTCTTTTGTTCGCGAGCGTGATAAAGCAACATAAAGCTGTCCGTGGGAAAAAACGTCAGTTCCTAGATGTATTCCAACGTTCGTTAGACTCTGGCCCTGAGCTTTATTGATAGTCATAGCAAACGCCAATCGTACAGGAAATTGCCGCCTTCTAACTCGTATAGGAACGCCTTTGTCGGTGTAGTTGTCGATCTTTGGTATGAGCACAAATTGACTTTTCCGCTCTCCGGAAGCAAAGACACAGCCAAGCACCTGTTGCCCGAAATGAGTCACTATCAGGCGAGTTCCATTACATAGGCCTTTCTTGACATTCAAGTTTTTAAGCAGTATCACAATTGCGCCTTTCTTCAGTCGAAGATTATGAGGAGGGAGTAGCGCAGGTGACAAACTGTTGAGAAACTCCGTACTGTATTCGCAATACTCATCACTGGTAACCTCATCTATACTTTTATATTCCTTTAATTCACCTGGTAACCTGCTAAGAGCCTCTTCGTTTATGCGATTAACGTCGATGTTCCTTGGTGCTAATATGGCACGATCGGAGAGTATGTCGGTGTTAGAAATCTGGTCTCCAAAAATTTCCCCAATGAGGTCGCCGTTAGATGTAATGTCTTGGGGAATTTCTATACAACCTTCGGCATCTTCTTCCGCTTCCCCGTTCCCTACTTTGATGAGGAAGTTACACCATGACATATCGGAATCTCCCGTCCTCATGTTGAGTGACAGTGTATGCTTACGGAATTTTGCCCAGATGTCGCTATTTTTTACGCACATATCGATCATATCCGACTCAGTCCCATGTTCTGCTATGGGCAAGACTTGCCGAAAATCGCCTCCGAGAACTATAATTTTTCCACCAAAAAGCAACGTGTTGCACATCAAATCCTTGAATAGGAGATCGACTGCTTCCAAGGAATCTTTCGACACCATGCTGATCTCATCCCATATAATCACATCCGCGTTCTTCAAAGGCAGAGCATCTTTACTCTCTCGTCGAAGCATACATTCGCGGTTTCCAGACTGCATATTGAACTTGAACATAGAGCTGGCAGTTCGTCCTTCAGGTAATAAACTGGCGGCAATTCCAGTCCATGCAACACAAACTATGGATCTGCGCTGTCCTTTTAAAATATGATAAATGGTACTGTAAAGGAAAGTTTTCCCGCTGCCGCCCGGCCCATCAACAAAATGTAAGTTGCACTTATCAACATTGAACGATGTCAGGATGTTGTTGGCTGCAAGACGTTGTTCATCGTTGAGAAGGTCAAACATCTCGGTTCCTTTCCTGCTGTGGTAACTATAATCGGCGTCTTCAGTATGTACATCTGGACGAGGTTGCGATGGAGGTGTTATCTGTTGTGACAGATCACATTGCAGCGTTTCCAACATATCGGACATTTCGTAGTAAGCCAGTGCTATTGCATCTTCTTCCGTAGCACCTCTGTGTACGAAATCTTCGGACATGTCTGATTTGAAGAGTTCAAAAAGATGAGAAGCATCATTGACCTCACAAAATGCTAGCAAGTAACAAAACAACGCTCTCAACTCAGCCGGCATTTGGAAACACGCGGCTTCTTCTAGGCAATGCCCATAATGGGCATCATCGCGGAGCAGGCCAAGAGCGCGTGCAGCTGCCGAAAACGTGGGATATAGTTGACCATCCACGGTCTTCATATCCTCAAAGGACCGCATATCCTTTCGATGGAGTAAGAGGATGCGTAAACTGAATCTTTCCGTCTGTTTAGGTGTAGCCATATACATACGACCTATTTGCCGGTTTCCTCGTCCTCTTTGCTTCCACTTTCCGGTTCGCTTCACAAAAGTGAAGTGTTCAGGAAGCTGATGGTAATACAGGGTCCGTGGATCCACCGTTCCTGGAAGAATGGAGTTTTCCGATTCTAGTTGCTCGTATTCAGCATTAAATTTGAACCATGCGGTAAGAGTAGTATCTTTGACAGATCCCCTTTCCACAGCCTCTCTTTCTCCTCCGCTTGGGAATGTGACAGTTTGAAAGTTTGGGAGGTGTACTTGTAGCCTGCACACGGTGTCGGACTTAAATTGGCACTCGTACATAAATATGTGGTGTAGTGCTTCTGGGGAGCACACGTAGCGGGCATCGAGATGCGCTCGAATTTCATCACTGTGGTCAACATTGTTAGTCTGCAGAAGGCGTAAGGATGCTCGGTCTGGTCCTTTATAAACGTACTTATACAGATACTTCACAGCCTGAACGTACCCACATATCTCTAGATTGATATGGGCGTTCAACAGCATCAAGAGGAAGCAGTTGTAAGGTACAATATGCCTGTTGTCAAAGACGTCATTTCCTATCTGTACAGAACGTCCGTTGTTCGGTCGTTTGTATTTTGGATATCCATCGGCATTGATAGCGGTTTCTTCCCGAAACTCTTTTGGAAAGTTTTTAGAACAGTGTCCATTGAGCATACAGGGAGCCGTTGGACATGTTGCTCCACAGTTCCTGTGCACCATGTTGCTAACGACTATGTCAAACAACTTTGGACTGGTAGCTTTGTCAGGTAGGTAAGCCTGAACAGCTGCATCAATTTGATCAGAATTCCGCGGTTTTGAATTGGCTGCCATAATCAGAAGCATATGGCAGTGAGGTAAACCTCGTTTTTGCCATTCTACTACTCCAACGTATGCAGCTACGCGGCCCAAGATATTTTTTTCGAAGAGATATTCTTTTAGGACCTCTAATTTTCTATGGAACACTCTTGCAACGATATCCGGGCGATCAGATGATGTCTGCCCATCGTAGAGATTTTCTTTGATCTCTCTCCATTTCGGATTGCAGGTGAAAGTCAAAAAGTAATCAGGCTTGCCGTACCTGGCAACAATGGCCATGGCATCTTGGTACGATTGATGCATCGCCCGAGGTCCACCTTGGAATGTGGCCGGTAAAATGACACGCTGGCCTGCAGGTTCGTGTGCGTCATCACTGGCCAGGTGCTCCATCAGTCCTTGGTAGCTATCAATACGGAGTTCCTTCTGATGTGTTCTCGTGTAGTTAAGTCGATTTTCACATACGCATCCACAGCAAACTGCTGAAGGAGTTTGCTGGCGTAGTGCAATGGATTAAATGTTGTGCGTACAGAGAGAAGATAAGAGTAAAATTCTCTCTGGGTAATTCTTGTCCGAATCCGCTCACTTGCATTTTTAGTGAGGTCTACATGCCAACCTAGCCCTCCTCTAGGAAAAAACAGCGGGTATGTTAAAGGGTCGCAGCGACCATCGATATCCTGGATCGGTTGCAACCCTTTCTTTTTATGGTGAACTGCCAAAGAACGCGTGACTGGCACGTCGCTGTCCTCACCTACGAACACAACTGCCACCTCGTTCGTTACAGGAACATTGTATCGTCGGCGATCAAGATTGCGTCCGCTGTCGAAAATCATCCTAATTTTTGGCGCATCCCTTTGTTCCAACTGCGCTTTCCTCTCTTCTTCCGCAACAATATCACCCATCATTTTGAAAGAAGCAGCATATTCGTTGTGAGCATGGAACCAAACGGTTAATTCATGCATAGTTAAGGGATCGCATCCTTCATTGGCAGGGTTCCCAAGTCTTTCTGCAGTTGCATCGTCTGTGTCCAGTATGTACAACTGCCCGTACTGCCGACGAGTGCCAGGTTCTGATTCTAAGGGTCCAACAAAATGGTATACTTGACCATGGATACGGTAACAGTAAGGCCCACCACCACGAGGTGTATCCACCTGCGCTCCCATCGAGGCCATCGCTAAGGCGCTGTTAAATGAACGGATGTGCTGGCGGAAGTTCTTGCTCGTGTTATTGTTTCCAGATAGCAGCATTCGAATAAGGTCGGGGAAGTTCGCGAAAAGATCCAAATTGACATTGCCGAAGTTGCAGCATAAATTAAATCGACCATTCATCGGTTTAGCTTCGTTTTCGAAGAACAAAGCACCGCAATAATCGCACGCAACACAAAGAAGACCTAGATAATTTTCTGCTGGTACAACAGCTGTAGTAGCTATACCGAAAGTAGAACGTTCTCGTAGAGGCTCCAGAGACTGCTGATCCTGGGTTATTATGTAGAGTATAGAGATATAGTTAAAGCATTTTGTTGATAGATACCTGAAACATCCTTTCCTGTTCGGCTTCGAATGCTGTTCGCCGCCTTCGTCTTGCTTCGTTTGCTTTAAGACGTTCGTTTCTTTGTAATTCGGTTTCGAAAAGTCTTCGCGCAACTTGGGCTGATGCTCCTCTGCTTCTCTTCCGTATGCCTTGAGCACTAGTAACAGCCTGGAATAACAGCCTTGTTTGGAGCTATAGTATTTGGTAGTATGCTTTCTTACGTCTGCCTCTGAAACGCAAGCACTTCCTTGAGCAGTTGGACGAATTTGCTGTTCAGAAATGACTATTTCCTGTAAATGCTTCATAACGCCTCTCTTAAAACAATCAAAATTGCTTTTTGGTAGAAATTAGGAGATAACAGCATTTTGCTGATCAGAGGAGAGGATAAGTGCTTAATGATTAGCTGAAATGTCTAATGAAAATCATGAAGAAAGAGAGAGAGAGTTCGGGATGTGAGTGGAAGTGCAAATGAGTCCTTGCTTTTTATCATATCAACTTTACATGAAGGTACTTAGCGTTGAGATAATGCATTATGCGTCTAAGCAGTGGTATCAACGCAGAGTACTACTTTTAGAGGAGTACGTAGCCCATTGCTGGTAGATAAGGCGGCTGTAGAAGACCCTTCTGATGTCCGGGGTGATTGAACAGTTAACATGTCTTCCGCCACCTATCAATGAATGCATTATAGAATTAAATTCGAAACTGTGTAAGGTAGGCTTACATTTGCTTTAGTTTCAAACGTATCCGAGCTCATGATCTTTCCAATATTGCCTCTGCGGACTTTAGCTTTTAAAATACTGTAAGACGCTGGCATTGTGACGGAAGAACCCACTTCCATTTCAAGTGATGCCTGTGAATAAGTAGAATATGCATAATATTTACTGCGAATTAATTTCTTTGTTAAAAATTCACACCTGAGTTGCAGAATCCTCCGGAAACATAGTAACAGAGTCAACAGTAGGTGTTCCTGAATGCTTGCCTTCAAGGGGATTGGTTTGTATGTTGAGGGACGAGGTGAAAGAATTTTCCTAAAAGGATATATGATGCAGTAAGAAGTCTTTGACTATAGACTGACCACAAAGTGGGAGTCATCTTGTTGAGAAGTATTAGCAATCATGCAACACTGTTCTCCACATGATCGCAATGATCGCTTCTGTTCCGCTAAAGCCAGTTGCCTTTTTCTAGATCTTTCTGCCTCCTTAGCGAGTCGCTCGGCTTTCTTCTGTTCGGTTTCGGCCGACCTTCTCAATCTGGCTCTTTTTGCATTGGTGGAGAGGCGTAAATTACAATCATCTTCCATTTCTTTTAGCTTTCTTGAAGCCGCACGTTCTCTAAGAGTAGCGAGGCGTGCATCGCGCTCGCTTTGGGTTTCGTTAGATCGTTTGCATGCCATCCGCTTAGCTTTTGCTGTCGAATGTTGCATTTGTGCAGCATGTAAATCGTCCAAAGTTGAATTTGCTTTGATATGCCCACTGATCTGTTGCACTGAATATGCCTAGAATGCTAGAATGTTTCTGAATGACTATAACACGAGTTCAAATTCACAATCATTCGCACCTGTCCCACTGCATATGTGTCAAGCATGATTAGAGCTGAACCATTATCGGAAGACATTGTTGCATCTTTATCTTCTGAATGTAGCGGAGGAGCTACCTAGAATTACGTAAAAATTACGAAAGCAAATCTGTACTTAGCTAATTTTTCGAGCTGGTATAACGGGCCAGATCAAGAAAGTGATATTGAAGTTCTCAAAAGGATGTTCCGCAAGGAGAGCCTTTGCAATTAGTATGGCTCAGTGTTCAGACTTGTTTGTCATAGAAAATCATACCTGCTTTGCAGTTGCATCATCCATGATTTGTAGTGTGCAGTAGCTGTTGTCTGCGTTGTGTTAAGCAGTATTACTAATTTGCACTGCAATTATATATGTATTTATTTGTCTACATAGATTTTCCCTCCATCCCTGCTTTTACAGCTCGAATTCAGATAAAATTAACATTTGATTAGCGCTTACACATAGTACACATTTATCATAAAAAAATTCAAATTTCTTAGTGCTGTAGAAGTTGATGAAGAAAATATTCAAAGATCAGCAAGCACGAAAAAAAAAAAACGTTTTGATTTTATTGATCATTTGATGTATACTTATCACAGATCAACAACTGCTGTTATAACGGAATTTTGCATGCAAAGAATTCTGAGGAGTGTTCGCATGAACGACAAAACGACAAAAATTTCTTATACAATGAATGTAAATCAAGCTTAGATCCGATAATTTTTCATTTCAATTTTTCATTGTTTATAGGCGGACTAATCATTTTCTAATACAAAATGTTGCGACGCAGTATTTTCAGCAGATATCATTGGAAAAGTGGCATTAGAATTGCCTCGCATAGAGATCAAGAATGATATTCCTAACTAAGAGACAGATACCGATTGTTTTGCTACGCTATTACAATTGATCCACAATTTTTTCGTTGAAGAATTTGACGTTTACCAACGCTACATATAATTGCACGACATTAACGATGTGGTGAAAAGAGAGACCCTTTGTGAATTTCTCTAAGAAGGCGCGGCATAGAGATCACGTTGAAATTTCAATAGATCCTTTGCTTAGATGCGCAATTAGAAATTACGCTTCAATCAGATGTAATGTACGCACAGTTGTTGTCAAGTGAATTGAACAGCAGAATATATAGGAAGCGAAAGAGAACATGTATGCTTGTTATTTGATGAAAAAGAGTCAATTTCAATGCACATTTTCTAAAAGAATTGCTAGTGAGTCAAAAATCAGGTTTTTTCAGACTGCAAAGAGATTTTTTGAATGATTGGATCACCTGTAGGATCATGATTCTCGGTGAGCATGAAACTCACTGAGCAGCCTGATTTACTTGATGATACAAACTTTAAAAATTGGGAGACTATGTCTGACAGTCCAAATAGGGGTAGAAGATTGCAGGTACTATTCATAACATTCTTTGCAGTTCGGATTCCAGCTACGTTCAAATTTTAAGTTAAACATTTGCGACATCTTGATTTTTGTTCAAGCAGACTTTTCGAAAGACGTTGCATTGAAGAAAAGGAAACATTGGCAGGCAAATAAGTTCCAGCGTGCAAAGTCATTTACGTAGAAAAACTTTGGGAAGAAGCTTTGCTGGTGAGAGTTGCCACAAAAAATAAAACTCTCTATTTGCAATGGCACAGCAATTAATTTGATGAAAAATCCAAAAAATCTAGGCTTTGTGATCTGAGCTTCGATTGATTCCGATATCAGAGCCTAGCAGTTTGTACCAAAATCTAAATGATATCTCCAAAACAACTAAATTGCACTTGACGTAATCAGCGCCAAGAGAAAATATTGATTATTCTGAGAGAAGATTACGGTTGTATGATATCATCACGGTAGCTTAAAAAGCACTGGATAAGAAGTAAGTATACGCTGTCTTGTATTGGAAATGCACTTGTCAATACCGTAGCGCGAAAGACGATGGATATTTTTAGAGAAAGTGCTTGAATGTTTACTATATAAAAAACTCTTTTGGCATAATTCGTGCACAAATATGGAATGTGAAACAGATGCTAAACGCCAAATGTTCGTTTGGCCCTGAGTTTGTATTTTTGTACAATAATTGAACGCACTTCTAGTCAAAGACTCCCCAGAGATGCAATTCTTTGCAAATAAACCATGATTTGCTTTTTCAAGAAATAGCCAGTGATAACTAACCTGTGTGATGCTATCCAAAGTCGACCTTCTTGTAATGATGAATCTCAGCGATCGTATAGTTGCAATGGAACTAATCGATTGTTAGATGATAGCACCTTACACGGATGGTTTTTGATAAACATCATGTTTGGTGTCTGCACTTTACTCTTCTGGAACTCATCAACATCGTCTAAGACAAAAATCACAATCCTGAGTGATGACCGGGTGCATCTGCACGGCACATAACGACAAAGTTGTTGACACCCGAATCGCGACCACGAAGGGGGGGGGGTATCTTACATGCATGATTCATCTCTAGCGCTTTATTATAGAGAGATTATGCCGACTAAGGCTTTACAGAATCGGACTTCTGCGTCACTATTTTTTGAGAGTTATTCCACAAGAAAGGAAAGATGATTTGATAGCAGCGTTTGAAGCCGCGTATTGGATATACTTCTCTTTTCAATTCGTCACTGCGACTTGGTAATTCCTTTGCTAGTGGATTAGCCGGTTGTCCAGTCGTGCTTTACCTTCCCAGGATTTTTTAATACCAATATTATGGTCGGGAGTGCAGAGATCGTGACTCGCCTGAGGATGAGGGTTGCACCATGATTTGGCTGGCCATACCTGCGCTTGAGTTTGTAGTTTGTAGTTTTAGTTTTTTTTTGCAGTTTCCCCTTATCTCCGCATGCCATTAAGGGACCTGATTGGTTTAGCCTAGAGTTGCGCCGTCACTTTTACGAAGTAGTCCTGTATGCGTATTCATTACCAGGGGTCATAGCGAGCACACTTTCAAAGAAAATTTTGAAGTAGAAGAATAGTGGCAAAGTCGAAAGTTTTCCCTTCACGTCTCTTTCCTGAAGATTCTTAGCTTTGTCACCTGCACTTGATAATTAAAACATTTATTGCTATGACGGAATAGAATCATCTTTGTAATTTGCTAAACACAGCACTTCAATCTTGGCCATGCCGACGTCTCCTGACTTGATCTGTACTAATAAGCGCTTGAAGGAGTTCTAAAATGTAGTTATGAGACCTCATGCGTTAAGAATTTCTTCATCTTAATTTCCTTTGAAACATACCCTTTTACCCTCTTTGTCAGTGTAGTACACAGCATCTGCCTTCACTGAATAGGTGCCCACATATTTGACGGATTTTGGATCCTTTACATCACTGAAAATTTTTAATTTTTGCTAAATTCCATTTCATTCACAGTCGGTCCAATTTCGCTCACTCCTTGATGAGAACCAAAACATAATTGCGAATTTTGAAGTATTCACACGGCTTATCCCTCATTGCTTCGTACAACGGTCTTCTTTCATAACTGAAACTATGCTTACAGTTGGATTTTTCATTTGTTAGTACTGACTAATAGTAATTCGCCGTCAGGAGGAAGTATTCGTGGTTACATTTTTCCAATACAGTTCTAGGAGTGCCAAATATAACACAGTCACTGTCCTCCTTGAATTTCCCGAACGCGACAGTCGTTGCATCAAGGCTGGAATGAACAAAAATGATATATAGAGGCTTTTACACGAAAGGCGGCCCCTTTGCACCGCTATAGCATGTATGTGACCCCTGGCGAAGTGCATTTGTGCATGCGAGATCGTCTACACAGACGTCACATTATCGTCACCTCCGAGCATTACTGCCTCTTTCGCACATGCTGTTCCATGCCGTGCGAGGGAGATTGGTACAACGACGCACATTCATGGTTTAATAGGCCGATAAGGCGGACGAGAATTAGTACATATACAGTCGAGTAGATTTAGCGGTAAATATAGTGTGCTTGCACAGAAGGTGAAATGCGGTTGAATTGGCGCGTGAAGAAATAGTTTCGACTGTGACGCCGGCCAATTGCGCGCGCAAGATACCCGCGGTACTGACGTGGCTACTTGTTCACGCGCAAATTTCACCGCATTTCACCTTCTGTGCAGGCACACTATATTTACCGCTAAATCTACTCGACTGTACCTGCATCCAAATAAGCTTAACTACAGTTTATTTGCAGTGTCCTTTTTGCGCGCGGCTATGCATTTCCAGCGCAGGAGCTCGCATCTCAACCTCCAATCGTGAGTCTACCTTAAATTGAGCAGCTGCGACTCCGCGCGAGCGGAGTGCGAGGTGTAACATCTGTTCCAATCGTATTATCCCGTTTCATCGGCTCTTCCATCGTGCAACTCGCAAGGCGGACGAGCCGATGGAATGGGGTACTACGATTACAACAGAGTGTATATGCTGCTGCATGACGAAGGGGCGCAATATCCTTGGGCGCGAACGCGGCACTATTAGCCGCAGAGCGCATGAGGCGCAGTATTTGCAAAGGTGAGGGATACGCGCGCGACAGGTTCGCGTCCGCTCAGCTATTACTGCTACCGCGCCTTCGTCATGCAGTAGCCTTTACATTCATAGCACTTTATCCCATTCATGTTACTGACTATATAGCGATAGGTTCGAAGATTCGATAGTTGCCAATGTTGTCAACATCTATGTAGTATCGATTGCCAAGACGAAACTTGGCCGGCACCGCTTTCTGAAATTCTCCTGCTCTTCAAATGTCCATTTGCCGTCATGAATCACTGGTATACCTGTGTGTGGCCCCAATACCCCTCAGGACTCGCGCAAGCTGCGTCTAGCAGAAGCGGCAGTATGGAGAGAAACATCGTAATGAAATGATCCACACCGAATAACGAACATGTTTTGTTGTGGATGTTTACCATGATAGCTGTATGTTTTTGACTATGTTGGGAGGAGGGGGGGGGGGTCCAGTGAAGGTGGTCCCAGCCACCACGGGACGCCAAAAGTGGAGGTGATGTTACCGGGGACATACCGCCCAAATCGTCCAATGGGAGGGAGTTGGAAAAGCACTGGTCGAATTTCAATATATGTCCTTTCAGAAGGCTTATTTGCTTATTCGAGGTACTTTGTAGTCATCTCACGAGCACCCGAAGGTCAATACCGTCATGGACCCATCTACGCCTCAACACTTACTGCGATTTCGGACAAAGCTTCTTTATGATTCTCAATGACTTCAAAAACTCTAAGCCAACGGTCCTCTTTGGGGCCAACAATTTAGGCCAACTACGATGAATAGATCAGCATTGATAAAGCAAGGCGTCACCTCTGCGTCCCAGAAGTTCGCACTGGCTTTACCATGCGTATGCCTTCCTTGTGGTCGCATAATGATGACATTGAAACTCACCGCGCATGCTGAACATCATAAGTGAACCGCATGCAACTGCTCATTCCTGGAGCTTTTCCACGTAAGATCGGTGATTTTCGGAGAAAAATATCCCCTGCAGAGGAACAAAGGCAACTCTAAATGAATCATTGTATTAGGTTGGTCCGAAAATTCTAGCGCACCATTTTCAAAAAATCGTAACTTCTTTGTTTCAGAATAATATTGCACGACAAAAATGCGCATAGAAGGAGTAAAGCATACTTTTTCTAATAGCATTATTGCTCTCCCATTCTCGCAGAGATAAAAATGGAAAATTAAAGCCTTTTGAGGTCCAGCGATTTGAGGCGAGCCCATTGAAAATTCAGAAACTGTGCAATAAAATCCAAAACAGCCATTGCCATTTTGCTGACCTCCTCTCTCTATATGAACAAAGCTAATCGAGCTCTTCTTTATAAAGTAACGATTTTTAGAAAAAATGCCAAAAAATCAGTTTACACAGTAGATTGATTTTTGGCATTCTTTTTCTAAATATCGCAACTTTTCAAGGAAGAGCTCGATTAGCATGACTTTGTTCACATAGAGAGAGGAGGTTAGAAAATTTATGGCAATGTTTGGACTTGGTGCACAGTTTCTGAATTTTTGACGGGCTTGCTTTGAATCGCCGAACCTCTTGAGATTTTGATTTCATCTCTGCGACGAAAGCTCAGTGAAGAGCAGTAAAAACGCCACTAGAAAGTGTATGCTTTGCTCTTTCCAAATATACTTTTGCCGTGCAAGATTGTTGTGGAATAAGAAGTTACGATTTTTTGTAAATGGTGCGAAAGAACTTTCGGACCTTTCGGACCAACCCAATATTTATTTTGGCTTGATAGTCGCCATAAGGATGATACTCACCTTGGGCTGAATATTAAAAAAATGAGAAAATTCTCGTGAGAAGTTTTTTCATTTTGTTAAGCCTTAACTGATTGACGTCTTTACGCAATCATTTCTTTTTGGCGCGGTTTTAGCAGAAAAAGCATACTTTTTGAGCACTCTATGAACCACTAATCATTGCTCGCAGAATTACTTGTCGGGCAAATACATGACATTGCTGTCAAATCACCGTTTCAGTTTTACGTCTCAAAAGCAACGTGGATCCGTTTCACGTGTCATTTTCGAAGGACCCGTACGTTGGATCCGTCGTCATTGTGCAAGGTGAAACTAAACACGGCCAGTGTGCGCTGTGTTCTGGCTCAAGAGGTATTTAGCGCGCTCTACAAGCTTCCTGACAGACAGACATATCATTCATTCTATGACTAGGAAACGCGAGACCGCACTGCACGCACTGTCTAAACAGGCCTAATCGTGTACTTAGCAGATTTATACTTGTTACTTCTACTTGTTACTTGCCTCATCCAGATTCACTCACTCTTTGGAAACAGGAAAGAACAAACTCAAACCTGTTAAGACAATGTCCGCAATGCGCTCTCGCCGTCTAGCAATAGAATAGATGATACACACGCGCACATACAAATGACAGACGCTTAGCGCTTTATTAGAAGTCATGATAGGCGTACTTAACAAATGTTATGCATGCGATCAGCTCAGGCAACGGATAGGACCCCTCCGCCGGAGAAATGGCAGGGTCGCGCCGTTTCCCTAGCGGTGGGTCTCCCATTTGTCCGGCGGAGCCCTCCCATTTCTGCTCCGGATACCTCCCATTTTCTGCTCCGGATACCTCCCATTTTCTGCTCCGGATACCTCCCATTTCTGCTCCGGATACCTCCCATTTCTGCTCCGGATACCTCCCATTTTCTGCTCCGGATACCTCCCATTTCTGCTCCGGATACCTCCCATTTTCTGCTCCGGATACCTCCCATTTTCTGCTCCGGATACCTCCCATTTTCTGCTCCGGATACCTCCCATTTCTACTCCGGATACCTCCCATTTCTGCTCCGGATACCTCCCATTTTCTGCTCCGGATACCTCCCATTTTCTGCTCCGGATACCTCCCATTTTCTGCTCCGGATACCTCCCATTTTCTGCTCCGGATACCTCCCATTTCTGCTCCGGATACCTCCCATTTCTGCTCCGGATACCTCCCATTTTCTGCTCCGGATACCTCCCATTTTCTGCTCCGGATACCTCCCATTTTCTGCTCCGGATACCTCCCATTTTCTGCTCCGGATACCTCCCATTTCTGCTCCGGATACCTCCCATTTCTGCTCCGGATACCTCCCATTTTCTGCTCCGGATACCTCCCATTTTCTGCTCCGGATACCTCCCATTTTCTGCTCCGGATACCTCCCATTTTCTGCTCCGGATACCTCCCATTTTCTGCTCCGGATACCTCCCATTTTCTGCTCCGGATACCTCCCATTTTCTGCTCCGGATACCTCCCATTTTCTGCTCCGGATACCTCCCATTTCTGCTCCGGATACCTCCCATTTCTGCTCCGGATACCTCCCATTTTCTGCTCCGGATACCTCCCATTTTCTGCTCCGGATACCTCCCATTTTCTGCTCCGGATACCTCCCATTTTCTGCTCCGGATACCTCCCATTTTCTGCTCCGGATACCTCCCATTTTCTGCTCCGGATACCTCCCATTTTCTGCTCCGGATACCTCCCATTTTCTGCTCCGGATACCTCCCATTTTCTGCTCCGGATACCTCCCATTTTCTGCTCCGGACCCCTCCCATTTCTGCTCCGGACCCCTCCCATTTCTGCTCCGGACCCCTCCCATATTCTCCGGCGCGGCTCTTCCAAACTTGGCGGACTCGCGCCGGACAAATTTCTCCGGCGCAGTCCGCCAAATCTGGCAGAGTCGCGCCGGAGAAATGGCGGACCTTTGCAGCAGGGCCGGAGAAGCCTCCCACTTGCCTGCCAGTGATGTCACCGCGATGGACCGCCCATTTGCCCCTCTCTCATTGGTCAACTGGGTCCGCCGCGAGTCTGGCAGATTCGGACTGTCCGGCGGAGGGGTCCCGTCCATTGTCTGAGAGTGAAGTTTTACGTATTGATGAGCAAGTTTTGATGTGCTGTGAAGAAAGCATTTGGGTACAGGAAGTGCCCGCCGAGAACCAGAATTTGATTTATCAAATTGAGAAAAATTATGTGATTGCAACTATTACAAACCCGACGTATGAAGATGTCAGCGAGACTTCATAGGTTTTGATGGGTATTGTTCTACCGTAGTGATTACAGGTTGACGTGAGAATTATTCACCGAGAATTGGATTTTAAGACACCACTCCATCTTAGGCCTCGGACAGAGTTCACGCGATTCAATCGTCGCGATTCAATCGCTACAAGACAACTGTCACGAGTTCATTGCATGCCAATCAGCTTGCATCTCGGTTGTGATACTTTTCCAGCTAGAAATTTTTGAATGTAAAATGAAAATGAATGAAAATCGCGGCGATCAAATTGCGACGATCAAATCGCGCGAACTCTGTCCGAGGCCTTAGGTTGCCCAGTGACTGCTGACACTTCAACTCCTACAAATCCTGACTGAGAACGTGCATGATGTTGCGATTTTATGAGTTTTGCAGAGTAAGTTTGACGCTATCTAACTGTACCTTAACCATAGCGGCTGAAAAAAATCGGAGCCAGACTTCGACAAAAGCAGGTGAATCGGTTTCAAGCTTTAACAGGATATAACTACTTCTAAACTTTATGAATCCGGGGACTTCATCTTATATATAAAGTTGAATGTCTGTTTGTCTGTATGTATGTCTGTACGTATGTTCCGAATAGAAAATTCCATTTCCGAACTGATCTGGACCAAACTTGGCACACATACACTTCGGGCCCCGGCGGGTGTCATAGGCTACTTTTCTTCATCGATCGATATCGATTTTATCGTTTTTTTTTGCAAAATTTGAGCTACAGGGCTGAGAGTTGGCACAGAGGGGTAATCGAGCATGCTGATTACAAATATATTATTGACAGGGCCGGGCGGAGCCGGGTAAGCCATCTAGTAGATTATAAAGTTTCCTTCAGGAGCTTTCAAATGGTGGATATATCGGGGTTCCCTGCTTCCTTCGACTTTTACCCGGGGGGGGTGGGGAGGAAGAAAGGTTTATCCCTGATTCTCTTCTGGCAGCCTTCAGTCAATACATTGAATTAGGCGAGCGGAGACTTACAAAAGGAAAGCTGGTTGGAGTGGTCTTCAGATGCAATGCATACTGCTTCGTAGAGCTTGGAACGCTGATTCAGATGACTTCGCTATCCGCTGCGGGCTTCTGAGCGAGTAGTTATGAAGTTTTTAGAACCGAAACCGGCAGTCTACTGCTTATGTATAGTGGTGTAATGATTATCGTTATGACCTCTAAGGCCCCGGGCAGACTTCACGCGATTTGATCGTCGCCACTGAATCGCGACGAGACAACTGTTACAACATCATTCCATGCCGATCAACTTGCATTCGGTTGTGATACTTTTCCAGCCCGAAATTTTTGAATGTGAAATGAAAATAAATGGAAATCTTGGCGATTGGATCGCGACGATTAAGTCGCGTGAAGTCTGTCCGGAGCCTAAAGCAGATGCTCTCTGTTCGAGTACCGTTGTGCTTTCCATCCTGCCATTTTCGATAAGTTTACACAAACGCGTGCCTTTGTCTATGCTCAATCTTATATAATACTTCTTCCCCCGGAAATTTGAACCGATTATCTAGCATTTTTGCAGTAATAGCAGAAAAATCAATTTGACATCTATAATCTTGACCTTGAAGCACACAAGGAGATTCGCAGTTTCAAAAAGCTCCAGCTTATTGTTAACTGGAGATCGGATTGGACAGATTGTACGGAATTACTCTTCGTTTGCTGCTTCCACTTTGAAAAACACCTTTGCTTTGCCCACTTTGTCCTCTAATCTCATGAGTCGTAAACTGCCTATTTCCGCAAGATAGTATTTAAGAGATACTATGTCACCCTTGGTGAAGTTGTCTTTGGATACGATGAAGAAGAGAAGTGAGAGAGGTAGTGGATGTGGCCGTCTTTTATCTAGGAACCTGCAAAGCTGAGTCTCGTGCAGAGCTACGTTTTTTTCTTGTGGAAATGTGAAGCCTATCGAGATAAGATAATCCAGAATATTCGGGATATTTTATTTTTTTTAACGAGTTCCGAAAAACAAGGAATTTTGCAGAACAAAATCTGTTGAGACTTCAGGCAGAAAGGAAGGTATATTATTTGCTTTGTTCCGCGATATTGTAAAATTTTACGCAACACAGTTTTTCAAGTGGTTGTACGGTAGATGTCAAATCACAGATTCTGCTCAAAACCTTAGGCAGGGGGGGGGGGGGCTAGTCTTCAGCATGCTGATTAGGCTGATGTCGGTAGCGCCTGATTACCTTGGAGTTGCTTTGATCTGAAAATAGCTTCCACCTTAATTATAATAAAGATTCTATTGACTTGTAATTTCGCAAAAGAGATCCAGCGCACTTTTTTTATAGTAATAACAATAAGCATGTTGACAATCTCACTCCCTCCTCCCCCTTAAATGCTCTTGAGCAATTTGTGATTCTGATTCACCTTTCTGTACCCATCAGTTTCAGATAGTCACACCACTCTCTGCGAAAGCAATGCATGTCGAATCCCTGATTGCAATATGTTCGTTCAAAAAACAAATTTTCGGAGTAGAATGGTAACGTTTTCATTTTGTGGACTTCACGATGTAACAATTTTTAGATAGAATTCACCTTCTAAGTAAATTACTGGGCACACTTTTGGACGTGTATCTATAGCATGAAAACGAAATAACTAAGCAATGTCTGTTCTCCTCCAGTAATGCTACCTTCGTGCAAAACCTAAAGCTTTTTCCAGTTGCCGCTAGAAACGACAGGTGTGGAATCACTATAGTTGCATCCAGTGATATACACTTCAGAGAGGCTTTAATCAAGTTGAGAACCTCTATAAAACAACTTATAACAGCTACTATCATCTGCAATCTCAGTGGAGTAACTTGAGAAGGCTCAGAAGTACGAAGATGTTAATTTAGCGAATGTGATGACCGAGGAGCAGCTTACCAGAAGCAGCATTGATGACTCCCATCGAAGGGCTAAGTTGAAGACGTCAGGTGTTTTGATTATCCATCTATTCTGATGCTGGAAGATACTTTTGGATCTAGCGGGGATAGCTCTTGTGTTTTCCTTAAAGGCAGTAGGTCGGCAGAATGAGACCCATGGCAAAACAAGGTCACAGGGTAGAAGCCCCCATAATGAAACCTATGGGCCAAAGTTCGATCTTTCTCTGCCACTTCTAACCCCCGAAATTTCAAAGCGAAAGCAACGCTCATCTCCTGTCCTCTCCGAACCCGCCCACCACATGGACGAGTGAACGCGAAGCCCGTCATGGCGAAGACGCAGAGTCGTTGCGGGACCTCATGCATAAGCACTGCGCCTGGCGCTCTGACCGTGGAAGCCACTCGTCCATGGACTGGGGGGTTCGGAGAGGACAGGAGATGAGCGTTGCTTTCGCTTTGAAATTTCGGGGGTTAGAAGTGGCAGAGAAAGATCGAACTTTGGCCCATAGGTTCCATTATGGGGTCTTCTACCCTGTGACCTTGTTTTGCCATGGGTCTCATTCTGCCGATCTACTGCCTTTAACTGTATAGTCGAAAAAATACTGAAAAATGAAAAAGCAGCACGGATCATACCCAGATACTTCTGCTGCGTTCTACTAATTAATAGCTTTTGCTCATACTTATATATCCCCTCTAGGAATTTTTTATGTTTTTGAGCTTTTCCTTAGAAAGAAATGATTATCGTCTATTTCAGAGACTTAAAAAGCGAAACTTTAGTAAGGATGATTAGACAAGCGAAGAGCTGAAAGCTGTACGAGGGAATCACTACGTAAGAGAATTTTCGCTACGAGGGTCTGAAATAGCATTTGATTAAAGGATTCTCAGTAGATCTCATACGTTATTTGACAGCTCTTACCTCATTCTTTCCACGGCAGGGCCAAGTCGAAAAAATGCGGGAAATGATTACTGAAAACAACGAGGATTGTCGTACTATGCAGACGGAGCAGTGGAATAGGCTAGTTTAGCGAAGCTGCTATACCACAGTATGTGATGATGCCGGTAAGTAACTGAGTATTGAAGATTGTAGCGAACACAGCTAAATAAAACTATCGAGAATCCGAGAAACTGATTATTCAGCCAATTTTGAGTTGCAGCTTAGATCTGTTGACTAGCATAAGCTGGAAACACTATGGAAAAATTAATTGCTATGAAGAGATTATCGATAAACTGATTTCTATGCCCATAGCCAACTGGGAGACTGCTATGTATACAGCTTATTGATCGTCAAAGTCAATCACATATTTGATGACTAGTAATTACGTTCTGCAATCGAGGCTACAACCAGCGTTATTTGAATCGAATTGTTTTTTCTTAGCAGACGTGGAGTACTATTCAGTAGAGGGAAGCAAGCCGTATAAAATGTTCTCCAAAGAGCCGCTTAAGTTGTAATCTACTTTGCTTGAATTAAAAAACTAAAATCAACTACTCTAGAATAAGATCACCCTCCGTAAGACTCCTACGAACCACCAACTTGGTCACCACACAGCTTATATATATTACTCGTGAATGCATTTGCTGGATTTTTTCCGCGGCACAAATTTGAGAAACAACAATAGTCGAAAGTGCAAAAATGCCATTTTTTTCTGTTATTTTTCATGTCAAATCTGGAGCTTCTCGATCACTAGGGGACAAAAAGGATAATTCTGTGGTAATTCTGTGATACTAAAGCCTGCAGTATACGATCATTACGCCTTACTTTGGTATATGATTATTATGCCTTATTTCTAGTGCTGAGAGCTGTACCCGAAATTTCGAAATTCGACAATAACGAGTTGAAAAACGGAAAGAGCTCTTGGCACGACCTTTTGAGCAGTTTTAGTCGGTCTGATTTTAGCTTGCAGTTGGCAGTTTTTCAAGCATGAAGTTGTAAAGCCTTTCGCTGAACAATCCCCTGTTGGAGAATTCTGCGTTTCGAAAGTAGCTGACATGGGGGCTCGGTAGGAGCTGGCACCAGGGAATTTTTAGAAAGAAGTTGCCTTTGACTTTCGCTAAGCTTTACGAAGTTTCCTTCGACCCCAAACGCTAATTGTAAAAAACCCCTTGCTCCCCAAAACGATATCCAACTTGCTCCATGCCAGCTGGTGTCAGGTCCTGGACATGGGTCATGAGATTGTCCTAATGACATGTTTTCATTTGTAACTAGTCGGAATTTTTTTTTTTGATTTTAAAACCACATTATTTGACTATGCAAATTGCAGAAGGGGGGGGGGGATGCGGCCACACTTTCTCTCCACTTTCTTTTCAGATTTTCAAGTTGTGAGCCCACGGCGAAAAAAATCATCCGAAAGTCTTGAATGCGTGATCGTTTCCGCAATTGAAAGAATAAATTCTCGTCCGCCCCACTCCCTTTCCCCTCTCACCTCTCTTCCAGGAAAGAAATTTCTCGGACCATCACTGGCGGAAGCCTATTTGCAAAATTTCTTGAGTAACTTTGTGAACATCACTTTTGAAGTCTATCAATAGTTTCTAATCTCTGGATTAGAAGATAAATTGATTACTTTGAAATTTACTCTTTTAAATAAAGTTTATTGCGATGTTCACTGCTGACTCCTAGTCATCGAGAAGTTTTGACTGTTTGCCAATGCCATTGCTTCACCCATGCTTCAAATATTTGATTGAAAAAATTGAAATCGCAGAGCTGAGTAGTGGCACTGCCCACGATTGTGCTCCATCGCGTCAGTTTCTTTGATGATCTTCAAAAAGGATTAAAATGCTTTTATATTAACATCAAGAAGTTCAACAATGTTTATGATTGTTAACAGAAACGAATTGAAGCTTCATCTATATCTCCCACGACATAGCACTTCGAACATTCGCGGATGAGAAGTCTGGCCCCTCCGTCTCGTTATGTAAGTATAGGTGACCTGATGCATTTTTCGGTAACGCAGTTGTTCAGAACCCTTACCTTTCTTCCGAAATCATTCAACACAAAGGCTTCATCCGTGTTGCGACAGTATGTGCCAATAAATTTGGGAGAATGAAGTTTGGCGAAATTTCTAAAAGTTTTTTCGTTTGCTTAGAAATGCCACACAGGACCCATCTCAAAGGACTCATTTTTTGACAAAAATAATAGCGTTACTGCCAATTCCAACCATCTTGCATCTTTTGTCACTGATTGCCTTCATCAATGGCTTTCTCTCAAAGCTGAATCTTTGTGTGCGTTCAAATTGAATGATTCTGCAACCTATCACTTACGTTTCATAGTTTGTATGCAGTAGGTAAAATTCATGATTGCATTTTTTAGTTGTAAAGAAATGTGATGGAAATGCTACGCAAGAGTTATTCTCCTTGAATTCGCCAAACAAAACCTCTCCACCGTCGGCGCTGCAATGATGACTTCCACAACTTTCATAATGATTGAACTGAACGAAGATGCATGGAAAAGCCTCTGACCACCTACTCATTAGGGTACTGCTTATCAAGTTGAATGCTAAACATGGCATTATAGAAAAAAATGAGCGGGGCTATACAGTACCGGAAGAGCAAGTCGGCAACGAGTGCTTGCCCCTGTACTTTTTACGTGAAATTGCCTAACGTTATAGTTTGTGGCTTCAGAGTAGAGAGGAGGGGGGGGGGGGGAGAGGGCGAGCGTTCCACTGCAAGACGGCCGTCATCTTGCACTATATTACCCAATGGCACCATGCTGCTTGTCTACACGTCGCGCACGCACATAGGTGCGATGGGGTGAGCGGGGTCCCTCCAAAGTGAAGGGTCCCAGCCAGGGTCAAGCGTGGGGTGCGGCACGCCACACCTGGGGAGTCGTACTGAGGAGTCAAAAGGGGAGGGGGTCGTAGTTGGGTAATCTGATAATAGTGATAACATGATATTCGTATCCTATCCATAATTAGCATGCTAAATAACCCCTGTAGACAAAGTGTGAGCGATTTCTGAAGGTTCAAAATACTAGGCTACCTAAGTGAAATGGTCGAATTCCAACATGGTTAACTTTGTTTCAAAGGTGAATTAGTTATCCGTTTTTGCACTCAAGACAAAGCACTACTCCTTCTTTGTCCACCTCAGGAATCCCGCTTCAGAAGACCTCCAAACTGTGGAATTAGAAGTCAACCAAAATCTCGTTTTTCCCATTTTTCGCTTTTGATCGCTGTGCTTTCACCAAATATTATTTGGAGCTAAGAAGACGAATCAGGCTCAAAATAGTCCTATGGAATCTACAAGGTTTAGGCTATCGATTCATATAAATAGTGTCCGCTAAAAATGTTTTTTTGATATAGTTAATGGCCTGCGGCACCCCCCCCCCCTCAAAACCTGCGGCAGCCGCAGGTTTTGAGGGAGGGGGGGGGGGGGGAGTCTCGATTGATATATAATATGTGGGGAGTGCATGCTGCTGAACTGCTCTTGAGGAGTAAAGTTCGCCTATACCCTTCCCTTCCTATTTCATTCACTAATACAAAAGTTATTTTTAAAAAATCGATTTTTAGCACCGTGATTTTTCGTCTTTTTGAGGCACGATTTTTCTATAAGGAACTCCATCCAGGCCAGCTTGTTGTATACCATTCGGAAGCTTATAATGAGTATATTCCACAGACATCCTTCTTATCGAGACACGTTATCATTTACAAGAGTTATTTACTTTTGAAAACCTTGATTCATCCTGATTTTTTACATTTCAGCAGACTGATGATTCCATAGCGACGTCGTTCCAGCCCAATATATTATATATCAGTCGAAAGCTCTTCATGAGTGCAATACAGCTAAGCAGTTATCTTTCAGATTCAAACTCATGTACAACAATTATTACATTTTGAAATTCCTATTTTTGTTTTTTGCAACCTAATACCTTGACAAAAAATTCACTTCAGGATCCATTTTTTTCTGCATCCTATGGAAAGCTCAGTTAAAGATTGCTTTGACTCAAACTACACTAAACTCATTACTATAACAATTATAATGCTTGAAACGACACAATTAAGCATTTAATTCGCTTATTGCACTCCATATACCGCAATAAATTTATTTGCGACAATAATAATCATAGCGAGTTATTTACAGGTGTAAGCGCCAAATAAGCCTTTCATCAGCGCCATAGGCTGTTCCAGGTGAAGGGGGGGGGGGGTGGCTGAGGCTCCAAAGTGAAGGGGGGGGGGGGGGTGAGCTTCGGCTCACCTCATCGCACCTATGCGCACGCAGCAAATCTATCCTCTCCTGTTTAGCCGATCATGTGTACCAGCCGCACCCTGACTTTGAAGTCGAACACGCCAAAAGAACTCCTTTAGACCATGTATCGGGGTGTTGACTGGAAGCAAACGATTACCTTGCGAGATACATGCGCAGCGATGCGCTTGAAAGTAAACTCACGTTTAGAGCAAAGAGGGTGCAGTTGTATTTTCAAAAGTAGACGCTTTAACCCGGAGTAGGTGAAAAACCTCACGTGGAGCAGCAAGTTCGCATTGTTGTAGGCTTTGCGTGCGCAGAGCGCTGGCAAAGACTGAGGAGAATGAAAGGACGCAGATTTGGGTTCCTAGGACTGTATAACAACTGCAAAACCATATGAAACTTTGGGTAGCGAATGCGCATCAGCATACGTTCGGCCTGACTTGAGTTTAGACATAATTGTACTTGCTTATGAAAATGCCGCTGCACGATGTGTCGCGCGCAAATGTGACTCTATATGGAGTCGCACTTGGGGGGGGGGCATTCTCTCACTGAAAAGAAGAAAAAACCGCACCTCAGGTACCGCCTAGATACCATGTGGCAATGAGAAGATGTCAGGTTTCTCAAAACGCCATCTAGATCGGACAAGAACGACACGCCTGCCCGGACGATATGCCATGGAGAGTGGCTCATGCTCAGCACCTACACCAGGAAAGTGTCCACAAATACCGAACTCTACGCCCTCCTCAATGTTGCAGAGCACATCAAATACCACGTCATCGCTGCTTTACAATGTTGTTGTGGGCGACTTTGATGCAATAGACCGGATGCCATTAGAAGGAGAATTTAAAATCGGGAAGTTAGGAAACAAAAATGACAGCTGTCTTGTTGGGCTTCTCTCTGCCGCGCGTCTTTTCCTTGGAAAGTCCATACGCCTTAAGAACGACAACTCTGGCAGAGATCTCATTTTCTCGTCATATGGAGGTGGACTTTACTCAATGTCTCAAGAGTGCTATCCTTTTGCTGTGGGTCCGATCATTACTTTTTCGAGCCAAAGTGCAATCTAGTCAAAATCTGGAGAAAAAGATCATCCATAGCGTCGCGCAAAGGAAGAGGTCATTGTGACAGTGACATGGTGACAGGGTGAAGTAACTCATACCAAGTTGTGCTTGCCCATCGAGGAGAAACCAGCGTACGATTACGAGCGGCTTGTGAAAGGAGTGCGCGCCTGCGAGGATGTGCCTCAACGACTTGTAAAAAAAAATTGGAACGCATAAGATTATCAAGGGATTGCCCAAAAGAGAAAGCCTTGAGCCGGGATTCGAATGTAACCCATTTTGAGCAGGTAGCGAATGCCAACTGCAACACAGCAGGTGGGTCTCTATAAGTACAGGCAAGAGAATATACTGAAAGCACGGAGAGAAGAAGAGGGCTGTTTAGAGCAACTCGACTGGGACAGGCCTACGTTAAACGTAGGACGCCTCAGTCGGGGATCCACTGAGCTATCTATCCGGAAATTTCCCTGTAGACATAATAACAATGTACGTTGCATGAAAACGCAACCATCTGAGCAGGTTTGGTCGAAGGGCTGAGTAATTGGGATTTAACGCGCAAGGCCAAGGGTTGATCCGTCGTAATTTTTCGCTGCACTGCTAAGCAATCTTTGATAGCGGCCGCTATCGAAAAAATAATAATGACCGCTATCGGAGATTTCGCGTAACAAACGAATGGACAGCAACAGTATTGTGGCATGCATAGCGGTAAAAAATTACAATTTTCGCAAAATCAATAGAAAAATAGATTTGAGTCCTCAGGAAACAAGCATGATCTATAAAAAAATGAAACTATTTCGTAATTTTTCGCCGAAATCAGCTATTCATCGATCCTATTCCGTTTAGGCCCCAATAAATTTGCAGTTTTGAGAGTTTTATACCACAAATAAGCTTCGAGCAACTAACGGGATTTTTGTCTGATTCTTCTCTTTTGCACACAGTCTCCTTCGGTCCACTTCTGTTAAATTGACTTTAAGCGGGAAGACGGGCGATATTAGGTGTAACCCATGAAGTTCTTTTGAGTGGCTCATCTCAGGTCAATTGAGATGAATGGGGTTTACTACAGTCTAAAGAAGTGGCGAAAGAACCTGTGCGATTATCACGTACCGTGTGCGTTGCAAAGCGAAGACGGAACCCCAACTTGTTATCGAAAATGTGTATACGAAAATGTATCTATTGCAAAGATTTTTGCACTATCCTCTTTGCTCACCAACGCCTGCTGTTTCCACTGGAGAAATACCACTGCGCATTTTACTTGCTGAAGTGCGCATCGTGATCTGGATTAACAGACGTCTATGGCTCCGCGACCAGACCACCTCTGTCGAGCTTCGGTAAGCCGGAGGGGCATCATCTTACAGATTTAGCTCTTAACGTCAGAATGAGATTTCGAACAGTGTAGAACTTCAAAAGTTCTTTTCTTCAACAAGGGCTAACAGAAGGATCTTCGGAATACCGTTCAACATGCCTGCTAAGTGCACTGTACAAGCTTTTCGCGAAGGTTATCCTCGCTAATTATAGGACACTACATGAAGCTCACCCCTCAAGAGTAAGAGCTGGATTCTGTAAGAGATACAACGGCATGAACCATATCCAGACGGTTTCGAGGGTGATAGAAGTTTAGTGAGAGTATCGACTTCCTCTAGCCTTATTCGTCGATCATGAAAAAATTTGACAACGTCGGAACCAGGGTCATTCCTAACAGTAGTTGACAAGGGATTGACCCAGCTTATATGAGGATGTTTCTGACTGCTAAAGGACTGTACAACGACGATGCAGCTATTTTATTGCCCCTGACCATTCCAGTTGGCAGGTGTCCAACTAGGCGACACAATTTCGCTGATGCTTTCACCGCCGCTGCAGTAGGTGATGAAATCACTAAATTGGTACGAGAGAGGCACATACGAATTGATGGGACTTCCCTCTCTGCGCTTTGTTTTACGGACGACATTGCTTTCTTCTCAAGCAGTGTCACTGAAGCATTGCTGGAGGAACTCAACGAAATAATGAAGATCGGACTGCGAATAACTTCGAAGACAACGCAGTTCATGAAGAACGCTTTTCGTGTGCGAAAATCAAATAGGAGAGCACCTCCACTATGGAGGTTTATTTTTGGATATGGAATGGGCTTCCGATGAACATGGATCGGATGAAGGGAAGAACTTGACGGGAGAAAAGAGCAACCTGGACCGCCTTAGTGCTCGTGAAGAATGCCAACAACCAAACAGACCTTGGAGCTTCGCCCCCCACCTGCCCTACTCAGTCGTTTTCTTAGTGCTCGTATGCAGCGGCCGATACTTCAGCTACGTTGAAAACTCTGCTGTCCACCTGTAGAGAAGTTGAGCGCATTCTTCTGAGAAGTCGACATAAGCAACATTTTGCCGGATTTCGCAGCACGGATATAACAAGAATGTCCCGTCTTCGTGATCCAGCAAAATGCGTTCTTCGTAAAGCAGAACATCCTCAAGATCACCAATGAAACACGCAGACTGTTCTTAAAACTTATGCATCCTGAGAAATCAGCTAATTACGAATTCCGCACCTCTATTGCCGACGCAGCCACCGGCAACCGCCATGGAGGTGGATGTCAGCAGGGAGGGGCGGGGATTTATGGCAACTTTTATGCCGTGGCTGCACGCAACGTGAAGATAGGCTATTTATATATTGAAGTAAGTGAACCCATTGTAAAGGGTGATTTTTTTTCGAAAGTTTTGTCGCAACTCAACGGTGAGACACATTTGTAATGTAAAAATGTAGAAAGTTTTCCAATTGTTAAAAGAAGTGTATAAAAAGCTCAAAGCTTCCTGTGCTTTTCAGTTAAACTTGAAGTGATAAAACATGGTATGAGGCACGAGACGAGAATTTGCCAGTTGTTGAAGTCCTTACTGTTAGTATTTTTTAAAGGAAATTGGGCTCTATATTTCAATTGCAAGAATATCGGAGTGTTTAGATCAGAAGAATTTCCTAAGTTTTTCAGACGAGCATTTTTTAATGGAAATACTTGAAAATTCAATTTACTAACTACATGGCTACTGATTTGAATATAGTTTCGTTGTCGATCCTGTCGATATCTATATAATATCGATTGCCAAGACGTTGAGTCGCAGGAACGCTGAACTGCAAAAAGATGCTCAAAGCTGTTAAGAAGGCGTGTCTTCTCCGCTTACGGGAAGTTTTGTCCAACTGTGTTTCATTGCAGATGTGAGAGAAAGATCCAACAACAGCGAAAGCCATCTCATTTTATCACAATTAACCTCACTTTGTATGTGATAGCTTTGGAATGAGGGGGGACGTGGCTTGAAACGTATTCTCACGTTTAACATCCTTAACATATCCAAAGGAATAGATGATCGGTAAATTATTTTGTCCTTATGTGATGAATCAATCTTTAGATTTCTGTTTTCTCAACAACAAAGGTATTTTCCTCGTGCGACTATTTTTGCCTCTCACTGCTGTATAATCAGCAATCGCTGTCCTCTGCCTTCCTCTTGCTTCTCCCTCCCCTCTTCCATTCTCAAATCTCCCCTACACTGTAGGTACTCTTTGACAGGGTGGAATCATGAGATTCCTTAGTAATTAATAGATTACTTTTCCATAGAAATCAAATTCTAAAAAATGGATTTAGAAGCAAAACACTGCGGCTCAATTTTAAATCATCATCTCTGGCTTTGAACTTTTTAAGTTCACTCATCTCATCTTTTCGTGGACAAACTTTCGGAGATATTATGATCGTTGTTCAGCTTCACGAAAATTCTAGAAGAGGAGCTCACCCTGTTGTGGCGAAATCAGATTGTTTGTTACTGAAATTCATGTGCATTAGAATTTCGGTCCCATCAAAACCCCTTGCTTTAGTCGGCCTTCCCCAGTCATATACTTGCTTGGCGGATTCATGGCAGCATCCGCAACCTTCAAGTCTACTGGTTCATCTCCTCATCTGTATGTTGTTTGTGTTAATATTCTCATCATCATTTTATATTGTATTGTTGTCACTGGAAACACATGCTTGAAAATTTAATGTGTCGATGCATCCGGTATTTATAGGCCCGTAGTAAATCCCCCATCAGGGCATCTCTTTTGACGCGGACCGGGGCGAGCTCATCGCGCCTCAATCCAGCATCCGGCGACCCATTGATCGGAAAATCCATACCTTACATGCAGGTGATACGGTCCAATAGCCGTCATGGACGAAATCGACCCGAGTCCTTTGGTGGAGTGGCGAAGAGGTTGGCATGGTGTCTAAGGGGTCGGAGGTTCAGTTCCGGGGCAGCGCGAGTGGCTTTGCGATGTTCCAAAAAATTCGATCTTTGTCAACATCGTAGTTGCCGCGACTGTTGATCTTCGAACATCAAAGAAATTGAGATTGGAATAATTTGTCTTATTCTGACAATGACCTGACAATCTATCCTGATTTTTCCAGCTTTAAACTTTTCGTAAGTAGCTTGCGTGCTGTTTTATCATGCATAACGCATGATAGCTCTTTCAAACCACAATCTAAAGCAGCGTCAGAGTTTCTTATCTGCATCATGCCGTTATTGCTTCTTTTCAAGACATCATCATACCTCTGCACTCTTCTTCACGAGACGTTTTTTCAAAATGCCGTCATCAGTTACAAGAAACAGATCGCGAACTGTAGTAGGACCATGTTTTGATGTTTGATGTTCTGTGATGAAGTGTGACAAAGTTTCTATAGCATTTCTTTATTCCGCAAAAACAGAGGCTTTAGTCAATAAGACCTTCGTGTGTCTTCTGATGTTAAATGTCCTTTGTGATGTTGTGCACGATGAAAATATAAACTGAACAGGCAACAAAGGCTAACGCAGAACCTTAGCAAAAAATTTGTGTTTCCTGTTGTCGGTAAACACCACCTTCATTCAACTCTCCTTGTGTCTTACAAATTTACCTTCTCAACAATGTTTCTGTAAGAATCGAATTCCATTTGATTAGAATAATCGTTTATTTCATACATTTAATATTATCGGTTATTTGGCAACTATACCCGTAGTGACATTGAAACGAAAACATGAGAAACGGAAACAGATAATAATGATTAGGACTGTCAAACACAACAAATAATTTGTGAACTGCTGCACCTTTGCAGATCTTGACTATTTTCTTTGCTTTCCCCACTTTCTTCTGTGCGTTGAGGATTTTCACTAGGAGTAACCATTTCATAGATACGAGCTAACACAGCCAATACTTCAGACGGTCGTTTTCTGCGAAACAGTAACGACTCAAAGACGGCTACATATAATCACTCTATAGCTTACTGGTTCACTCCTCCAACTTTATAAGCTTATTGAGCATATGTTGCGGACACTTGCTCGCATTCAAACGAGTATGCGTGCTATTAGCCTGAAGTAGATTACTAATGGAACATAGTTCTGTTCACCATAAAAAGTTACCTTATCAAGTGAAAGAATAGTGGCATTAAGTGATCGAAAGCAAAATCCAGAAACGTTTTGAGATTGTCAAACTAATCGATTGTCAGCGTAACACACGCACACTGCATTTTTGCTCAACTCAAAAAAAAAGGAGAAAACACTAAACTTTCATTACTCACAAAAGCGGTCCTAGGAGGTGGTTGAATGCTAACGATAGGAAGTGACAACGCATTCTTGAAATCTGAGGAACAAGAAGAAAAGAATGTATCCAACTCCGGCGACCCTCTGAAGAAAATTTTGAATTACACCAGTTGTGACAGTACTCAAGCTGACCTCCTCGTCAAAATTTCCTCCAAGATTCGGAATGCCTTTTTCTGTAGACCACTTGTATCACATAGAACCATGGATTAATCATGCTCATAATCTTTTGTAGCGTAGAACAGTTCGCAATCCGAATAGCGCTCAAAATATCCACTATGCGCGCCTGAATAATGCAGAAAACACATGAATGCGAGGTGCCAACTACAATGAGGGAAAATGAACTCAAAAAAGAATGATACCTGTCCGAAGCTGTCATCAGAGGCATCTCTGAATAGTCCTTGCAAGAATCTAAAGCAGATTAAAGGTGAAAAGCTGGAAGCTTTTAGCTAAACCACGCACCTATAGGTGACCTGTCAGAGTTGCTCATCACCGGTGTCAAAGAACTTAACAGTGAGCTCGAGAGTTCCGGGAAGTAAGCAATAGCAGCTAGAAAATTCCACTATATTCAGCAAACGTGATTCACACATGCCAGAAGAGATTACGTAAATGATTCCATTCTTCTTGTATTAGGTTGGCTAAAAAATAAGTTCGGTCGTTTTCAACGGTTTGTACAAATCTTGCAAATTACTTTGTGTAAGAATGTTTGGTACCATTAGAAAGACCAAATCAGAGAGAATCGGATGGTTAACCCTGCTTGAGCGCCAATCATCATTTTGACGACGAAATTGTGCAGGAAATGGAAATAGTTAGATTTTTTCATCGAATTTTCGAAAAATCATGTCCCGAAAAATGAGCTGAAGTTGGGTGGAAAATGCACAACTGGCATCCGCACCACAAATTCTGAAATTTCCATCAATTTGCATGGCCACTGATGGTCAAACTCGAGCGATTCGGATTGGCCAAAAACTGACTCCCATGCGCAAATGCCTGGAAATTCTCACATTTTTGGCTGCAGAGATTCACAAACAGCAGATCACAAGCTCCATTGTGGTTCGCCATGTAGCCAAAGGTTGTATACACCTAACCACCAAATTGGTCATCTGTGCGCTCACTATGGGCTGAGAACGATACTTAGAAAATCAAAAAAGCGAATTTTTAGAAGGCTAGCCATATAAGGGCCTACTTGCTAATTATTGATGACCAAAAACTGGGACTATTTGATATGTGATAGTAGATGGTTGAAGCTACCTCCTGGCAAAAAAATCTCTGCTAAATATCTGCTAGTCGATTTGTTACAGACTTTCGAAGAAGCATGTCAAACCGAACTTATTTATTAGCCAACCTAATATTTCGGTTCTGACAGTTTTCCAACATGACTGGTCGTAACCAACTATCGCAACCGAAATACAAGAAGATCGGCATGCAATGATATGTTACAGTTGTCTGGTCGCGAAGAATCGCGACGATGAAATCGCGTGAACTCTTCCCGAACCCTCAGGTGCACTCATTATGAAAGCCAAAAAATAATCAGCTTACTGCAAGTTGTGAAAGAATCAAAAGCCTAATAAAGTTTTCACCATCGACGGTACAGAAAGCACAAAAACAACGGCTCTTGAAATTCAGCATTAGAATAAACAATTAGAGCTCAGCTCACCAAAGCGGAAACAACTAAGGGATAGAATTATCGAGAAAGAAAACAGGCTTGACAATTCATATAACTAAACCTTGAAAATCGTTGGCTTACCATGGCATCCGCAATGTGAACGATTTGAGTATGTATGGTTTCCGCAAGCTGCTTGAATAATGTAGAGGGCATTTCGTGCATTATGCCTTCCAAAAGACATAAATAGGCTCGCTAGCATAGGTGCGAAGGGTTGAGAAAAATCTCACCCCCTCTTCACTTTGGAGTTTGGGCTACCCCCCCCCCTTCACTTTGGACGGAGAGGAAGAAAATTTTTTGAGGTGAGATGATAGTGTGCTTGAAGTGGAGTACAATTTAAGGTAAAAGAATTTATTTACAGAGTGTAGGGAATGAGAATGCGGGAAACAAAGCAAAAATCGGGATCGGACCCCCCTCACTGGACGAGGCAGGTGCTAAGGTGAGTTAGTTAGATTAAAGTTGAGATATCGTAGCTGAAAAATCCAATTTTAGGCATTCCGTGTGACGAGCAGTATTGAGTCGATATGGGAGGGCGCATGGTCGTGAAACGAATGGCTGGAGTGGAGCCTACACGTGGGCTTGTTGGACGAGACTCTGAAAAGACATTTTGTGGTTGTAATGTGGATATAAATTGAAAACTTGCCATCGTTTTGTGTGTATAAGGATAAACAATAAATGGAAATGTTGTACACAATCGAATTTGTATATACTGAGTGAAGGCAGGAAAATAATCAGAATAGGAAAGGTAAGATATCGGAGTTTGATGATCAAAAGAAAGAGCTGCTGGAAAAAAAGTTCTTTAAAGGTAGAGGGAGAAGGTAAGTCAGGTATTAGGTACTCAGGTAAGCTTCCGATGTAAGCTGATCAGGAGAAGCAGGTTTATGTTGCCAACTATATGTTGCCCCCTTCGAACCAAAAAAATTTCCATATCTCGGTGGGCGGGTCATCTCAGGATCTGATTTCTTTTTTATCTTGTAATGGAGAGTGTGCTTAAGATAACTAGGGCTGTCGCAAAAGGATCTGCTTCAAGGAAGGAGAGCAACAGCACCGAGTTGAAGACGCATAAATTTGTGTGTAAAATTCAGGCTTCAGAAGTTCTGCTTCAGCAGATTCTTTTGCGACAGCCCTAGTTATCTTAAGCACACTCTCCATTACAAGATAAAAAAGAAATCAGATCCTGAGATGACCCGCCCACCGAGATATGGAAATTTTTTTGGTTCGAAGGGGGCAACATATAGTTGGCAACATAAACCTGCTTCTCCTGATCAGCTTACATCGGAAGCTTACCTGAGTACCTAATACCTGACTTACCTTCTCCCTCTACCTTTAAAGAACTTTTTTTCCAGCAGCTCTTTCTTTTGATCATCAAACTCCGATATCTTACCTTTCCTATTCTGATTATTTTCCTGCCTTCACTCAGTATATACAAATTCGATTGTGTACAACATTTCCATTTATTGTTTATCCTTATACACACAAAACGATGGCAAATTTTCAATTTATATCCACATTACAACCACAAAATGTCTTTTCAGAGTCTCGTCCAACAAGCCCACGTGTAGGCTCCACTCCAGCCATTCGTTTCACAACCATGCGCCCTCCCATATCGACTCAATACTGCTCGTCACATGGAATGCCTAAAATTGGATTTTTCAGCTACGATATCTCAACTTTAATCTAACTAACTCAGTCCGATCCCGATTTTTGCTTTGTTTCCCGCATTATGGTACATGATAATGAAATGATATTTATCAAAAAAGTACTCGAAAACATTTACTAACTATATTAAAATCTATACAAATTAATTTGGAAAATTCAAAATCAAAAAAATTGGAAAATTGTTAAAATTGAAGTTTAAAAAAATTAAAGTTAAAAAATTGAAAATTTATTTTTTTCAGTTCTCCCCCCCCCCGGTCGACGTCGGCAATTTTTGGACCCCCTTCACTTTTGAGGGTCAAAAACTCCCGAGACCCCCTTCACTTTGGAGGGTACCCATCTCAGGCCTTCGCACCTATGCTCGCTAGTCAAGTTGCCACCTTTCGCGCCTGAATTTAAGGAATGGAGTCCGCAGAAACCGAGTTTACACTCCTACCTAGTGCGGCCTGGAGTTGCTGCTGTGAAAAAACCCCAATTCCGATGGAGCTAGATGTAGTCCATTCTCCACTGAAGTTAATGGATCAGTTAACACTGCACGAACTATGCCCGGCGCCATGGTGCGTACCCAAGGCTTTTCATGAGCGCATTTGGCGACGGAAACAACGATGTTCCTTAAAACGTAACTTCAAATCCCAATGAATGGTGAAAGATTACCTAGTATTCGCGCTGAAAAATCGAAACAGAATCGATCAAAATCAAATCAAAACACATAAATGCCCCAAAATTTTCACAAGCACGCCGCCGAGGAAAAGTGTGCAGTTTTGCGCCGATTTTGTCTGCATTTTTTGGCAAAGCTGTGTGTATCGTAAGCTACTCAGGAGCAACTTATGTTAGATGCAGTCAACTCTTGTCTGCGTCTCCTCTTCTACACACTATTTAGATCACTCTAACATCAGTTCACGTTGAGGTGACTTGAACGTGAACTGATGTGGAAGAGTTGACTGCAGCAGGTGGACAGATGGTCAACTATCAGTTCACTCGCCATTCTTATGGCATAGGAGGGTGGGCGGTCATCAGTTCACCTGACGTGCGGTGAACTGATGGGATAAGTTGAGTTCACCTCAACTGATCGAGCTTTACTAAGGGCCATAGACTCAAGAAGATATCTACCAAAGAGGGGAGTAGAATGTGTTAGGTGATTGAGTTTACAATTACATATTGTAAGAAATGCTAAAGTATATGCATCAGACCATGCTGAATAATTATGCAAATTTGTGTGAAATGTGCATTGGAAGCGAAGGGAAAGCGTGCTTGAAAAAGACGAAAATTCATGTATGAAGGACGCAATCGAATCAGTCACACAATGTTTTCTTCCTAAACTCTAATTCTTGCAGATCTGTTCAAAAACATAAAAATGACAAGATCAACAAGCTAAAAAGTGTCTTAATATCAATCGAAGTCTTTTATAGCGATATTTCGTTAGACGATGTAAAATTTGCTAATCGTTCTTGAAGAGCAAATCCTTATACTCGTCTTTACCCATATCAGACCTACAACTTTGCATTGTTGTGGTTGAATCTAACAAGATGATATTATTCATATTTGACTTTTACATTTCAAAGTTTCAGCTATAACTATTGAGGAACAAGATCAACAACGTTTTAATTTGACATTTGGAATTTGAAGCAACAAGAGCATTTCAATTTTGTATACCAAAACCTTGAAATGCATGCTCCTTATCCTTCCGTAACGAGCATAACTAGGAATCGATTAGGCTTGTGATGAAAAAACCAGCGGTGACTATAAGTGATTTGAATAAGGAAAAGGTGCTGATTTTCTTAAATCAACTTTTTCACTACGATTGATAGGCTATCATCTGCGTTCAGCTATATGAGAACAGAAGACTGCAAGCATATTTACTTCATTTCTGACAATCACACGTTTTCCAACTTTCGCACAGACGCATCATTGAAAATGTTAATAAGTAGGCAATAGTCGAAGCAATTCATTCCATTTTGCATTCTGCACACTATGCCAATCTACATCGCTGTATCTTTTTCCTTCCTGCTCGTGCCTTTATTATTCGCAGATGGCGCTGGACGTCTGGGTAAAATAACTGCAGACGAGAACCGAGAGATCAATGAGATGTGTGATTTACAAGGTAGTTTTCTATGTTTTGTTCAACTAAATTTCTATTGAACTAGAAACCGCGCACTGCTCAATTAGCTGGAAAGAACCTTTCTGTCTTTCGGAAGATGAAGGCGAAGGGGTGGGGGGGGGGGGGGGGGGGGAGCACTATGAAAAAGATGGAACAAAATCTTTTTTCATTCAAAAATACTAATCGCGACCGGCAGTTTTTTTGACTCTCAACTTTTTCAAGCTTGTGATTTTGTGATTTGGGATAGCGTGAACTAGCCACGTTTCCAATTGTTTACAAAGCCAAACTATAATCTAGTGTAGTATAGTGTATAAGACACTATACTACATTTAGAGTTGAGACTGATTATTCTATCCTCGCATGTGTCCCGCTTATGCAGAATCTTTCTTGTTAGTTGTATTCATGTTTTTCTATCTAAGGCAAGGTCTTCGTTTATATCAAGTTCTCGCAGGTCGGCCTTGATTCTGTCCATCGACCTCATCTTGGGTCTACCTCCGGGTCTTTTGCCTGGTGCTTCCACCGCTAGGGCTAACCTCATAATGTGGCTTTCATCTCTTCTGCGCACACCATACCATCGCAACCTCTTTTGTTGCATTTTGTGGGCAAATGGAGCAAACTTCATTTGCGCTCGTATGGCACCGGGCAGACTTTACGCGATTTGATCGTCGCGACTGAATCGCTAGGAGACAACTGTTACAACATCATTCCATGCAGATCAACTTGCATTCGGTTGTGATACTTTTCCAGACCGAAATTTTTGAATGTGAAATGAAAATGAATGGAAATCTTGGCGATTTGGTCGCGACGATTGAGTCGCGTGAAGTCTGACCGGGGCCTATAGGGTCATTGCAGATGTGATCCTTCAGTGTGACTCCTAAGGTTCATTGTAGCATCTTTGTTTCCATGACACTGAGCTTGCGCTCCTCGTTCCGCGTACACGGCTAGCACTACTGCCATACAGTGCTGCTGGGCGGATGACGGTGCACAGTACTTAAGTTCCACTGACATTCTTGTCGCACAGGACTCCTGTTAAGGCTCTCCATTCCCTCCATGCTCTGTTCATTCTGCCTGGAACCTCCTCTTGCAGACCTCCTTCCGCTGAGATGCGACTGCCTAGGTACTTTTATGAGGTTGTCTTCTATAGCTCTTCACCTCCATCGATGCTTACAGTCAGGGCCTTGTACAGATGGTTTGGGGTCAAACTGGACTTCGTTTTTAAAGTTAGAGGCAACGAGGATATCGTTTTTGTAAGGTCCTGAAAGAAGCGTCAAAAGAAACGACGAACATGTCAGGTTTTACGAGTTATACGTGTTTTTTCGCAAGCGCGCTAATTTCAAACGCAAGACTCAAACAAACAAATGGCTTATTTACACCGCACAAACAATCGCACGGTTCCGAATTTGGGCTATGTGTATACAATATTACTACAAACCTATGTTATGTAAAAAGTTCCACAATCTTATGCGTTCTAATATCCGTTCTCGAATTTGTTGGTTTCTAGACCAACACCAAACCAACTGGGTTGGTTCGGAGCATAAATATCGGAGAGTTCACATAAGTTTGGGACCTTTTCGATTTGGACGATTAGAACGGTCAAAAATCTATCATACAGTAAAGAGAACTAATCAAACCACTGCCTCTCCTCTTTTTTTTCGAGCCAAAAGTAGTGTACTCCTACGCGTTGATAAATACCGCGCTCCAATCAAATGCGGCGTCCTTTGAACTATATGGCGAAAAATGCATCGCTAGATTGTTGAGGCCACAAATTTGGTTTGCTTAACGGGTTTTCGACATTTTGAGCATCAAAATGGTACCGTACTCAATGACAGAGCCTTTAATCGACTCGAAATGTTATCTTTTTGCTTTTTTGTCATACTAGATAACTCAAAATGTTTTTTCGCTTTTTTATGGTTATTTTGATCGAATAAGGGTTCTGCTAATTTTTACTTTAGTCAAGAGGGACTTCGCAAATTTTCGCGAAGTAGTGGAGGACTTCGTTTCCAAAAAAAGCTTCAAACCAATGCGTGTTGGGCCCTGCTTACAGTACCTGGAGTTTGTTTCCCCACTTCCATATACTCTGTGCAGTCTGCCCCAATCCCAACCAGGCCAAAATCGGCATGGCGGGAGACCGCGCCGCTAGGGTTTTGAGGTCACGCCCATGGCCTGCTTCTCTGCCCTCTCTTCACTCTTCTTGCTCTCTCCAACAGCGCACACATGCAGCGCAGACCGCTAGCGCCGCGAGCGTGCAAATTCGCGCCGACGTTTCGGCCTGATCCCGACTGGAGCAGCCTGTATTCTCGGTGTGAGCGCCAAGCCGTATAATTCTATCCTGTTTTTTCAATTTGTACTTCGTCCTGCAGCTCCTTTCTGGTATATGCTAGCAAGACCGCATCATCTGCATGGAGGAGTGTCCAAGGAAGTTCACGTCTGAGCGGTTCCATCACGGCGCTCAACACAGTGATGAAGAGCAAGAGAGAGAGAGAACTGAACATTGGTGTACTCCAACCTTGATTTGGAATTCGTTTGATTGCCCTGTAGTTGTTTGCACGTGGCTTGAAGCGTGCAAACAACTGCAGGGCAATCAAACGGTAAATCAACTTTATCCACCGAACGTACTCCTCTGGAAACATATGTTTCCGCTTGGTATGTCGTCCATCATGTAACTTCATGGGGTACCTTACCGAAGGCTTTTAAAGGCCCAGAAAAGCTGCATGCAATTTCCTCTGCATCTCTCTATATTCCCCCTTGACTAGTCGAACGGAGTGGATGGCGTCTGTTGTACCTACTCCTTTCACAAATCCGCACTGATTTGGTGACAACTCTATTCTCAAAGACGCGTCTCGATTATTCGCTCAAAGATCTTGAAATGTGGCAGTCGGATTGGCCGGTAGAATGCGCACTCTGCTATGTTTCCTTTGTTCTTCCGTATCGGAAACTTTGTGCTGGTGTACCAGTCGCGAGCATAGTCTTGCTCCTCATAATTTGATTGGGGGAGGGGGGGGGGACTCGTTAGCCATGTGGCTCCGGATTGTTTACATACTTTCCAAAACTCGCTTGATATGTCGTCCGGACCGGTCGCTTTGCCATTTTTTGTTCTTCTTACAGCTAGCCATACTTCCTCTTCCGTGACTGGTTTTCCTGGTCTTTCTATGTGACTGGATTCTGGGATGGAGTTGACGGTGCGGCCTACGGTGCCCATCTCTTCGAAGTAGGGGTTCTCTATCTTTCGGTGATGGGGGGACCCTTTTTTTGATTCTAGGGATTATATACGCGCAAAAATCTTGAGATGCGCCCCAAAAAATTTTTTCGGAGTGGTGCCTAACGCAACGCATCTTCATTTGAAAAATTTTTGCCCCTGGACCGAAATCCCGCGACAGCCATTGGGAAGAAGTGTTTCATATCTTTTGTGGATTCCGCTCTTCTTTTTGCTATCCGGTATATCTCACGTTCTCCCTCACGAGACTCTAGTTGATCGTAGTGCTCTTTCATGTACACATTTTTTTCTTCACGGAAGCCTTCGCAGCGTGCTTGGCTTGTTGCATGTCTGGTATATGCATCCCTCTTCTACTTCATGGATTTTTGCACTTCGTCATCCACGACTCTTTTTCCTGGTTTTGTCTTCCCAAGATCATGTGTGCCACTAAGTGGACTCAATCTTTCAAACTCGCCCAGGATCGCTCTGGGTTCTCTTGCAGGCTTGTAGAGTTGTTACTTCTGTTTCGCCGTTTTTTTGGTTTACAATCTCTACTATTTAATGCGTGCCCTGGTTTCTGCGGCTCTCCTGATGTACCTATCCATTGTTATTTTGATGTCGAAAAGCAGTGGTTTATGTTGAGGTATGCAGCTCTCACCGGGGATGACTTTGCAATCCTTCACGTTTTCGAGGTTACGCTGTCGAATAGCGCAAAAGTCTATCTGTGTTCGTCGGTCGCCACTCGCATATGCTATGAGGTGAACACTCCTGCTAGAACGCGTCCTTTTCATCATCCTTACATCCGATCCGTGGTGCGTAGGCAATAATGACTCGTAGAACTTGTATTCCAGTATCCACCTTCACGCTCATTAAGCGATCGTTTATGCATTCAACATCAACTGTATTGCTCCTTAGAGTTTCCGAGACAGCTATACTCACCCCTTCTTTGGTAAAAAAAAATAACACCGTTGTAGAGAACCTTGTATCCATCTCCGATGTCGCATGACTTTGCCCCCCTCCACTTCGTTTCCTGTATGCAGGCTACATCGACTCGTTAGAGGATCTGCTAACTTTCAAGAACAGAGGTGGGTGTACCCGTAGTGATGGTAGCCAGAAGGGGTCTCAATGCCTTGAATTCTTGCCTTTGATGAACTAGCCACTTTAGCCATCCCCGTTCATCTTGCTGAACGATAACTTGCCCACTATTTGCATTCGTCGGGCTCCAAATGCACGTCGTTCCAGTGGACGTCCTAGCCTTATAGCCTTATTCGAGTTACTTTATGAGACATGTCTGCACTGCTGATGCGACGGGGTCTCTCAGCCGGCTTGTCGCATGCCCTTCTTTGTAAAGGCAACCTGGCCCTGGAATGAGCAGAATATTTGTCGCAAAAAATGAGGCTCAGGGGAACAATCCCAGGACTTCAGCACGGTAATTTATATGGAGCAGCAAACATCTGACTAACTCTGCTCAAGTAAGGCGATTCATAGCACGCAAAAACTGCGGACATATCGGTGCCTCCGTGATCGAGCTCTCCTTCGTTTCACTTACCGTCTGCTGTCTCTCCTGTGCACAAACTATCTTCGTCAGACGCAAGGCGAAGGCGCCCAGTCTTTGCGTGTCATGAATTGGCGATACGTTTGCTGATAAATTTTTTTAACAAAAAAGACGAAACGGATCGGGGCGTCTGGCGATTTCTCCTATTTCTCTTTAGAAATAAGTCCTTCTGTAGCTGTAGACCATTTCATCGCGCTATTTGCTTCCCTCTTAAGAGTTTATTTATTTGTACTTATTAAACAGACTCACCGTTGG